TCGTCTTACTGAGTTTTTGCCTATAAATCACTTAGTCCAGTGCTGATGGAGACTTGCTGAGCTTTTACTTGTTCTAAGTTTAAGAAGTGGACATTTTGGTAAAACACGTGGTAGAAGCAGCAGTGCAGACGGTGGCCAGAGTGAATTTTGTTTGGTTTCAGTCTCAGAAGGTTTACTGTGTCTGAGATGCATTTCTTGGCAGCTCCTGTACATTTCTAGGGTGAATGCTTAGGGAAGATGTCTGAGGATCACTGGGTTTTTTCCTTTATATAGTTGTAGAGGGTGTATATGTGAATTCAGCTTCCCTGGTGACGTGGTGGTAAAGAATCCATCTGCTGGGGAAAAAAAAAAAAGAATCTACCTGCTGGTGCAGGAGATACAAGAGATTCTGCTTTGATCCCTGGGTCAGGAAGATCCTCTGGAGGAGGAAATATATTTTTCCTCCGGTATTTTTGCCCGGAGAACTCTATGGACAGGAGAGCCTGGTGGGCTACAGTCCATGGGGTCACAAAGAGTCAGACACAACTGAAACAATTTAGCACGCAGCACGTGTTCACTTGGTCCTTTTCTGTTGGGGCTTTTATCTTGGAACCAGTGGATCTTGTGAGATGGACGCTGATTCATTTTAAAGGATGTGTCCTTCCTTCCTCTGACTAGATTCCGTACCTTCCTTCTGCCCAAGAATCTTCCCTGCAGAGTTGTGTTCGCCTCTGGTTGAATTACCAGTGAATTTAAGTTGTAGGACTTTTCATGTGTCTGAGTCAGAAAAATTAACTTTGATTCATTCACCTTGCTGTGATACTGAATAATACTCTCAGATATCACTGGGATTTGCAAGTCAAAGGTGATCTTTTTTCATTTCTCTACCAGTTAACAGTCTAACTAAAACAAACTTGTAAGCTGTTTTTTTTAATGGCTATTTGCATTTTAAGTATATGTGTGTTTATACACTTCAGTGGTGAAATCTGCTAGAGATATTTGCATATGTCATTTTATTATGATTCTCTGCATCTAGTAAAGAGAGAGTGAATAATGAGTCGCCCTTCCTGTTTTTTGTTCTTCAGCTGTTACTGAACAGGCTTCTTTCTGTAAGGGCTGTGCTGGGAGAACATTCCCAGTCCTCTTGGATCCTCCTGGTCAGCTGAGGTCCACTCTGTCTTCGTCACAGTTCCTGCCATCAGTGGAAGGAGACGGAATTCAGGTTACAAGAGTTTAAACAGCATTTTGCTGCGTGTGTGCTCCGTGTCCGAGCATTTCAAGGAGTCACTAAAAAACCCCGCTAGTCCCATGCACTGCTCCATGCTCAGACGGTGGAGCGGACAGGACTTGTCAGGTGACTCCCAAACCCCTGGCTGCTTTTAAAGATGACCGTGATGCTCAGATGTCCTCCAGTAGCCAAGGAAGGCAGTGGAAAACTCCTCCCCAGTCGTAGTCCAGCCAGAGACAAAGGCCTTTTCTGTGGGAGCTTGCTCCCAGTGCTAGAGTCCAAAACTCTCCTTGGCACCAGCTGCCTGCGATCACAAGGGAAGGGGGCGGGTCCGGCAGCTGCTTGGCCCCTGGAGGAGAGCAGGAGGGGGCCTTCCCTTTCTTCTCTGCATGTCCCCTCTCCTCTCTCAAGTGACACTTCTTTTTTTTTTTCTTCATCTGTACATTACTGTGGTCCCCTGGAGACGAGTTAGGACTCCGCTGGGTTACTTGGAGCTTCGCCGGTTCCCCTTTCTTTGCAAATGTGGGGTTCGTCATTGGTTTAGAAATTGTTAGCCTGCTCGGAGTTTGTTTTCTCTGTATCGTCTCTGGCATAGTGAGGTGTGTGTGTTTGTGGTGGTGATATGTGTAAATATATACTGGGGCGAGCCCACCAAACCTGTATTTAGCTAATGACCGATGGGTGATCTCAACTCCCATGTTGGTTCATCATCGCCCTAAAGACTCGTACATTTAAAACACCGTATTAAAAGCGTTGGCTTCCCAGATGGTGCAGTGGTCAAGAATCCATCTGCAAGTGCAGGAGACACACGAGGTGTGGGTTTGATGCTTGCACTGGGAGGATCCCCTGGAGGAGGAAACGGCAACCCACCCCAGTATTCCTGCTGAAGATCCCACGGACAGAGGAGCCTGCTGGGCTCCAGTCTGTGCGGTCACAAAGACTCGGACATGACTGAGCACGTGTGGGCACACGCACGCACGCACATTAGTTGTGATGAGGGTCCCAGGTGTACCTGGCTCAAAGCTGTTGACAGACACTGCATTTCTGATGCTTAGACAGTCCCTGACAATTAGTGGTGCTGAATGGCTTTTTATTTTATAAACTGTGCAGTAACCTTCTATTTTAAAACCAGAGAAGCCAGAGAAGGGATGATTCAAAGAATATACAATCCTCACCCTAAAATGGTGGTCTGAGAGGACAGTGTGCCTTCCTCTGAACACCCGTGTCATCTGGCTTCCGTGGTTTCACTACTGAAGTGACATTGATCTGCTTACTGTATGTCGGAAAACATTTGATCGGGCGGAGAGGGAGGTGGGATGGGGATCGGGATGGGGAACACATGTAAATCCATGGCTGATTCATGTTAATGTATGACAGAAACCACTAGAATATTGTAAAGTAATTAGCCTCCAACTAATAAAAATAAATGGGGGGGAAAAAAAAGAAAACACTTGATGTTTCAGTCATATTAGAAAAGCTGTTCCCAAACTGCACTGAAGCTGTTCTTACGTCATATTTCATCATTTCTAACTTGCAGCCCCATTTCAGACCTGTGACCGTGTGTCTCACAGCTGGTCGTGAATCATAGTTTCATTATGAAATGTGATGGAACGGCTGCCTAGCTGTGTCTTAGGTTCAGGGGGCTGCGTTGTGTGTGAGGGTGCACCAGCAGTGTGACCTGTCTCTATATTGAGTGGTGTTCATACCCACGGACAGTGCTCAACTCATGTCTGTAAGGATCTCTACGCAGGTAAGATGTGTCAGGGTTTTAACTTGGTGGTCTCGGGAAACCTCAGGTGCCGTTGGAGGGTCTTGGTGGTTCTTGTTCAGAGAGGTGAACGAGTTAGAGGACACTGCTTGTGCAGTCACTAGAAAGAAGTGTCAAAACCAGTCACATTATGTTGTTTAGTCGCTCAGTCATGTCCGACTCTTTGTGATTGTAGCCCACCAGGCATCTCCTCTGTCGCAGTACTGGAATGGGTTGCCATTCCCTTCTGCAGGGGATCTTCCCAACCCAGGGATCGAACCTGGGTCTCCTGCGTTGCAGGCAAGTTCTTTACTGTCTGAGCCGCCAGGGAAGCCTTGCTTGGTCCATGACATGTTTAAATCCTGCATTTGGTGTGATTTACGCATCCATGAGGTTTCAGTGAGAATTACCCTACAGCCCCGTGTCTAGACTGCACTTGGCCTTCTGACCCTGCTCCATATTCACGGCATCATCTGTCAGAGTCATGTGACAGCTGTGCCCATCAGTAGCGTGCTGTGGTGTCCTCATGGTTGCATCTCTGGACTGAGCTGCAAGCCACCACTGTGAGAATGGCTGGCAGATGATGATTGTATGTTCTGGTGTGTACTTGGCTTGTAAGCAGTAATGAACAATAGCAAGTTCTGTTTTTAAAAAGACACTTTCTCTTTCATTTGGTCTCATGGTTAATATCTTAATCATTCCCCCTTCATGGATCACAACCTTATCACGGGGAGGGGGCTGGCATAACTCAGTGAAGCGTTGAGCTGTGCCCTGCAGGGCCTCCTAAGACGCTCATGGGTCGCAGTGAAGAGTTCTAACGATCTTGCGTCTTTTATCTTAAAGAACAGTGTTAGTGAACCAAGCTTAGGTTCGTTCTGTGAGGCTGTATGGAAGGTTCTGGGAGATGCTTGGCTGCACCAATACGTTTCATGTGCATGTGTGTGCAGATGAACATACACGCACCCGCATGGCTCACAGTCTTCGTGGAGAGGGAAGGACAGCACTAAAGTGGAAGGAGGTCTTAGAGAACCTGTCATCCTTTCTTGTTGAAAATACATGAAACAGAGGGAGTTCTAGAGATCTGGTTATGTGAAACTTTTCTCAAAGATCTTTGTCTTCCCTCAAACATCTCTTTTCTGACCAAGGCTCATTTCCGCTCTTCCTCTCTCATTTTCTCACTTTGGTTTTGCTCCCCTCTCATCCTGTTGGTTGTCTGTGATCTTGCCTTCCGATGACTTCCTGAAGGTGACTGGTATCACCCTGCCTATGTGTCCAGGCTCGACAGGGGATAGGCCGCCTCGAGGATGCCATTTTCCTGGGCAAGGGGGTGTGCGTGTGTGGAGGAAGCAGAGACCTTGTTACGCTCACAAGAGTAACTTAGCTTTATTTCTCCAGACCGTGTCACCACCTGCGCTCTGATTGTCTCTCACAGGTTCTTCCTTCCTCCCTCTGCCCATCTTAGCTCAGTAAAGTGAGAGGCCAGGGCGTGAGCCCCATCCCGGACAACCTGCCAGCACCCAGTGGTGTTTGTCTCCGGGCCCCCCGCCCAGGACGGAAGGGCTCCTGGGCTCAGCCCCTGCCAGTGGCCCTGACCCCGGGGGATGCTGCCGTGAGAGGCTCTCAGAGGTGAGCCTCCTCCGCCTTAAATGCCGCGGACGGTTTATGCTCACAAATGTTCTCTAGAAACAGCCCTTCCTGGTAATCGGTTGAAATAGTATCGGCCAGTTGGTCCCCCTTTTCCTCCCATTTTTACAGGTGAGCAGCTTGAGGCTCAGAGAAGTGGAATGAGCTGCCTGGGGGCACGTGGTCAGCGAGAGAGCCTGGTCCGCACATGCCCTCTGCTGCCTGTCATCTTCACCTTGTGTTCTGTTGTCTTGTTTGCTGAGCTTGTGATCACATTGCGGAGGGTGAGCCCCCAGTTCTTGGCAAAGGCCACAGTGACTGTCTCCCTTGCTGGAGGGGCCAGGACCCTCTGATGGCCTGCGTGTGGAGGAAGTCCAGTCATGCATGTCATTGAGACCCTGCATGTTTTATTTTTTTCTTAAGGATGAAGAGGAGGAAATCAAACTGGAGATAAATATGCTGAAGAAATATTCTCATCATAGAAATATTGCAACGTATTACGGTGCTTTCATTAAAAAGAGCCCCCCAGGACACGATGACCAGCTTTGGGTAAGCAAGCGTCTCCTGTGTGTTTTATGGGGTTTCCTTTTTGGTTGTACTAGAAGGGCATTAAGAACCTTCTAGAGGAAGGTGAGAGAAAAGCAAAGAAAAGGGGGAAAGTCTGGTATCTTCCCTGGACTTCTTAGTGGAAGGTATGCTGAATGTTTATTTTGGTGTTGATTTCACATTGCAGGGAAAAGAGTTTGTGTTTGGGAATAAGGTGGCACAGTAAGAAACAAGGAAAACAAGCCAAATAGCAAGGAAATTAGGAGCTTGAACTTAAAAGCAATATGATAAAAACTTTATGGAAATTACACATATATATGGAATTTAGAAAGATGGTAACGATAACCCTATATGCAAAACAGAAAAAGAGACTCAGATGTATAGAACAGACTTGCGGACCCTGGGAGAAGGCGAGGGTGGGATGTTTCAAGAGAACAGCATCGAAACACGTATATTATCTAGGGTGAAACAGATCACCAGCCCAGGTTGGGTGCATGAGACAAGTGCTCGGGCCTGGTGCACTGGGAAGACCCAGAGGGATCGGGTGGAGAGGGAGGTGGGAGGGGGGACCGGGATGGGGAATACATGTAAATCTATGGCTAATTCATTTCAATGTATGACAAAAACCACTGCAATGATGTAAAGTAATTAGCCTCCAACTAATAAAAATAAATGGAAAAAGAGAAAGAAAAAAAATAAAATAAAATTTAAAAAATTAAATTAAAAAAAAAAAGAGGGAGTATACCTATGTACATATAGGTATACAGATGTATACCTATGACTGATTCATGTTGATGTGTGGCAGAAACCAACACAATATTGTAAAGCAATTATCCTTCAATTAAAAAAGTAAATAAAATTTTAAAATGGCTAAAAAAAAAAACTTTATGGAAATTAGTATAGTATCTCAGCAACATGCATTTTCTTTACTTCCGTGGGATTGAGAGACAAACTGCAAAACAACAAACTTAGTTCTGTAATTTACTAAGAGCAGTGGGTTTCAGGTAAATTTGTGGAATTTATACATGTTCAACCTTACCTCTTATTGAACATGTTTCAAGATGATGACACTGAGATAGTGCTGGCTCTGTAGCGATCACGTTAGTTCTGCCAAAAGTACTGGACTTACAGAGTGGGAAGATAGATGAATACTCTTTTGATTTTTTTTTTTTAAGTCATTGTAGAATATTTGCAAAGTTAGGAAAGTAAAAGGGAAAAAAATTGCCTTTATTTCTATTGCCCATATCTAAACATAGTTAAAATTTTAGAATAGTTCAGTTCATTTTCTAAGTACTTTACAAATATTCTTTGTTTATATTGTTCAAACATTTAAGTATTGTAGAGTGTCTTGTGAAAAGTTCTGTGCTGCTTCAAAATAGTCCTCCTCTTTTGTACTAACCCCAGTTAACATAAAATAGTTGGGGAATCACAGTGTTGTGGAAAGTAGAACATTTGGGATGCTGGGAAGTGAGAAGGCTTGTTGGCGAGCATCTGGGTGAGCATCTGATGACTGGGCGCTGGTTAAGGACAGACGGCCCGCCTGCGCCTGTGATCTGGTGACAGGGGCTGCAGGTCCGGCCTGTGCTATGGAGTGTGAGGACTCCAGTGTCCTGGACCCGTGTCCATGCCCAGGAGATGGGGTGGGGGAATACGCTCTCAGGAATTCGCTGCCTCCACTGTGATCATGCGCCCAGACCTTTAGGAAAAGGGCGGGAGTTAGACTGCCCCCCTGGCCTGCCGGGGAGGGTGCTGCCATCTGTGATGCTCTGACCTCCAGCGGGATGTGTCCGTGTCTTGTCTCCCTCCAGCTCGTTATGGAGTTCTGTGGGGCCGGATCCATCACAGACCTCGTGAAGAACACCAAGGGCAACACGCTGAAGGAAGACTGGATAGCCTACATCTCCAGGGAGATCCTGCGGGTGAGCCGCCCTGCGCTTGGCTTTGTTTGCATCTGCTGCTCGTGGTGGTCGCTCAGTCGCTCCGTCGTGTCCGACTCTCGGCGACCCCGTGGACCACAGCACGCCAGGCTTCCCTGTCCTTCGCCAGCTCCCAGAGCTTGCTCAAGCTCGTGTCCATTGAGTTGGCAGTGCCATCCAACCATCTCACCCTCTGTCACTCCCGCTCCTCCTGCTGCCCTTAGTCTTTCCCATCATCAGTTGCCAGTGTGCAGATGGTTCTTTTCACGACAACCAAGGATTCTGTATAGCCAGTTGGCTTCGACAGTTGAAGCCACATCATGATGTTGACTCTGGCCTGTATCTAAAGAAATTAGACTTAAAATAGTTGTGTGTGTGTGTTTTTTTTTAATGTAATGTATTTTCCTGAATTCACCCTGCAGTTATTCAAAAGAAAATCAGCATGCAGAGGAGGAGAAATAATCTCTTCACTCTTGTTTATGGAAATCCTGTGTCTGAGCTTGTAAATCAATATTAATAGTGCCAAATGCTGGCTTTCAGAGTCATCTTCTGGGCTTTGGCATTAACAGAATCTGCTGCAGTATTTATGAGGGAAAGTTCTTGTGTTTAATGTTATTTACAGCCAGTTGGAAAGCTGGTTTATGGTCTTTGAGCAAGTTTCGGAGCTACCAAATGATTTTAGCAGCTTCTGAATGATTCTTTTCAGTAGTGGAGCCATTGTGACAGCGCAGTGTTTGAAACTAATGTATTTCAAAACTGCTTGTAGTTGCCCATGGGCAGCTTCTCTTTGGTCAGCTGTCACAGTTTTCTCTCTACTTTACCTGTAAATCATACACTTAAACGACTTGGTTGAATTTCATTTACGGACCACATTTGAAAAGTAAAGACTATGGAATTGAATTGGAATCTAATTGTAAAAGAACCTGTTATTTTTTTATGTGTAGGTAAATTTTATGTTTAAGCTTCACAGAAACCTGCAGGTTTTTAAAAATGCTGTCTGGAATTCATGGAGACCGTTTGAATTTCTTTTTATTTAGTTTACAGAGCCCTTGAAAATAGATAATTCTTCTTAAGACAACTAGTTGGATAGGGAGAGATGGGAGACCTGTCTTTGTATCATCACATTCACATTTCATTATAAAAGCATGGGGATTCTTTTGTGGTTATTATAGGAGCCTTAACATGTGAGCCTAAGCCTCCCACCTCCTGCTGCTATGAGGGATTTCAGTGAGTGGGCACCTGCAATGTCCTGATAGCAAAGTTGTTGTTTATTCACTCAGTTCTGTCTGACTCTTTGTGACTCCGTGGACTGTAGCCCGACAGGCTCCTCTGTCCATGGGATTCTCCAAGAAAGTATACTGGAGCGGGTTACCATTTCCTTCTCCAGGGGAGCTTCCTAACCCAGGGATCAAATCCGCCTCTCCTGCTTTGGCAGGTGGATTCTTTACCACTGAGCCACCTGCGAAGCCCCATGATAACAATAAAACCCCACTAAAATGTTAAATAGGAAAAATCAAGTAAACGGTGCGTTCTCATCTACCCTTTCTCAATTGCGGCATCTTGGACTGGATAGATCGCTTGTGCCTTGGGAGGCAGCTGCACATTGAGTTCTCTGGCAGAAGTCGGGACAAGCAGAGTTGTGAGAATGCTGCCTTTTTGTCTTTCTGACCATATTTGGATGCAAACTGCGTTTTTGTTCTCCCACCACCTCTCATCAGAGGCATGCTCTGGGCTTCATTCCAGATACGAGGTCATCAGAAAGTGCTGTGTGCCCACTAGGGCTTACTTCCTTGGGAGAAAAAGAAAGATGCTTGATTGGCACATGAAGCTCTGTGGATGGCAGGACCGTTGTACCCGTGGGGTAGAGGTGGGGTCAGTCAGTAGTTCACAGCTTGTGGCTCTTTGGTGGGAAAACGAGGCTGGGTTCGAGGGCCAGCCCTTGAAGCCCACTGTCACCCTTGCTTTTCCCCTGGAATGCATGCGGTTCACATCTCCCCCCAGGCTTACCCACTGCACAGTGGGCGTGCAGCGTGGGAAGAGAACCGTCCTGTGCACAAATAGCACGCACTGCAGTAGAGACACTGCAGATGGTCATTGAACACGTGCCTTCGGGGAAAAGCTGGAAAGTGGTAGCGCTGCCCTCACCCTGGCCCTGACCCCTGGGGACTGGGGGTGCTTCTGTCTGTATGGTGTCACTGGTGATACCTTGCTGGACACACACTGCAGTTGAATTGTGTGCACACTTTATTTTTCAGTATTTGTTTGCTTGCTTGCTCTGGGTCTTAGGTGTGGCACACAGACTTAATTGCCCCACGGCATGTGGGGATGTTAGCTCCCCAACCAGGGATGGAACCTGCACCCCCTGCATTGGAAGGCAGACTCTTAACCGCTGGGCCACCAGGAAAATACCAGAGAATGGGTTTTGTTTTGTTTTGTTTTTTCTCTCTTTCTTTTAATCTTTTGGCCACACTAAGTGATATGTGGGATCTTGGTTCCCTGACAAGGGATCCATTCTGTGTCCCCTGCATTGGAAAGTGAATTCTTAACCATTGAACCATGCGATATTAAAAGGGGTGCATTCTGCGCTGGTCACTGACAGCATCAGGGAACTAAATCTCTCTCTGTCTTGCCTGCAGGGCCTGGCCCATCTCCACATCCATCACGTGATCCACCGCGACATCAAGGGCCAGAATGTGCTGCTGACCGAGAACGCAGAGGTGAAGCTAGGTAAGTGTGATCTGATGCCTGCCAGGGTCGAGTCCTCTGTTGGCATCACCCCCGTTACCCGTTCCGTCCTTTTGGAGAAGTGGAGCCAGGCTTACCTCTTAGCACGGCTCCAGGCCCGCTTTGTCGGTGCCCCAGACTCCCCCAGCAGCCCCTCTCGTGGTCCCTGTGGGAAACTCAGGGACGTGGTGGGTACAGGCCCCTGGGGAAACCCCCAGGCTGGTTGAGCATCTTGGCGCTGTGGTGACTTGGCTCTGGAGGGGGTGCTGCTTACCCGCGTTGCCGGAGGGTCGCATGTCCACGCTGTGCTTGTGTGGGGTTTACTGTGAAGACACTGCTCCTCTGTGTGTGTCCTGTTCTTGACTGGTTTGCTCACTGTGGTCCACTGTCCTTCCTTCCTCTGGCCGCAGTGGACTTCGGGGTGAGCGCCCAGCTGGACAGGACCGTGGGGAGGAGGAACACGTTCATAGGCACCCCCTACTGGATGGCCCCCGAGGTCATCGCCTGTGACGAGAACCCGGACGCCACCTACGATTACAGGGTAAGGTGCCAGCAGCCTGGTCTCATGGGCTCGCCGGTCCTGGGCGTGGGGTCTGACCCCACTTTCCCCTCCCTGCCCCAGCGAGGACCACGTGGACTCCTGCTGTAGGGCACATCTGCTGGGACGGTATTTTGAGGCTTTTTGTGTGTGTGGTCCGTTCTGCATCAGCTCTCTTCTAAGTCAGGTGCTGCTTTCAAGGCGGGAGGGGCCCGTCGATCTCAGAAATGTTTTGTCCCCAGTCAATTTAGCGCTTCTGCTGTTTACTGTTCTTTTTAATTTGAAGAGTGTCAGGTATTTATTATTTCAGAAATATTGTCAGATTACATAGCAAGCACTTTGTGTGAAATTTTAGAGTCTTGCTAAAGAGCTGTGCACCTTTGCTTTGGTCACAAATGTGTTTAAACTCTTGAGAGTGACCTCTATAGACGTGTATTAATAATGCACTTCTTGATCCTGATGAAAAGTCTTGTTTGATCATCAGACTCTGGCTGAGAGTTGGATCATAGGTACGGCGAGTGGTTCTAATTAACGATCATTATTATCATTATTGCATAACTTTTCACAAAGCTATGCAATACAAGGCAGATTGTATAGCTTTTCCATCACTGTCTTCTTGAGTTGACTGAACTTTATGAGTTGATCATTTATTTAATTGGAAGGTATTCTTCCAGATGTGTTTGTGCCTGCGATTTCTTGGCAAACTTCCTTTTGGTTCGTACCCCCAAAGAATGCATTTATATGATTTGTGTGAATGACCAGTGGTGGTGAGTTCCTGGCCTCACAGTGAGGGTGGTGCGCTAACGTCTGCTTTGTCCTGCAGAGTGACCTCTGGTCCTGCGGCATCACTGCCATTGAGATGGCTGAAGGCGCTCCCCGTAAGTAGACTGCCTTCCTTGTTAGCCCGGTTCTATGCAATGTAAACCTGGTCTCATGGCTCCAGAAACAGTGGCTTCATGAATGGAGTTGTTCCTGGTGGAGCATTCAGGTGAAGGAATCATAAATACAGTGGAGTTTTAGATGTGAAAGGAGTTCTTGGCACATGTCAGTCCTTCTGAAGGTCTCCCTGAGGTTCATGGGCCGCGTTACCTTTTAAGTTGTAATTAGATGTGTGACCTGAATTTATTCTAACATCAGATAATGACAGTCCACTCCAGTATTTTTGCCTGGAGAATCCCATGGACAGAGGAGCCTGGTGGACTCAGTCCATGGGGTTGCAAAAGTTGGACAGGACTGAGCATGCACACACACACACACACAGAGTAATAGGCAATAATTTTTCTTTTTATAGTTTGAACTTAGTATTCAGTGAAACTGGTCCTAATACAGGAAATTTCCATTTTACTTATGTTTTAATTTTAAAAATAGAGGCACAACCTTTTATCCATGGAATAATTTTTTTTTTTTTTTTTTTTAGTATTACCTGTGAAATTTTGGTTCCGCTTTGGATTAAATCAGTGACAACTTCGTGAAATTGGTTTTTAATCAGGAACAGAGTAGAATTGCAGAGAGCAAAGGAAAAAAAGAAACCTATTATTTTCTGTTGGTCCCCCTTGAATATATAACATTTGGTACTTAGTTGCTGCTGACTAAATATTTGTTGAACAAATGATACAAGGCTGCCCCCACCTAGGCATTAGTTGCACTGCAGAAGTGGCCATCTGTCCTGCTCACCCTGTGCTCCATCGTGTCCCCCGAGGACCTGAGACTGGGCAGGACTGCCTGACGCTTTGTCTGGTTCCCTTTCGCCCGGGAACAGCATCCTCTCTTTTAGCCCTATCTCCCAGCTGTCTTGTAAGGTGCTTGTGAAGGTGAATAAACACACAGAAATACCTGTGTCCACGTGCAGCTTTCAAGCCTTCACTGGGCCAGTGATCAGAGGATAAATAGTCATCAAACAAAATTAAACAATCCCACTCATTCCCCGATTTCAGGAACACTCACTCTAACAGTAAGCAGTGAACACGCCTGCTAGTGCTCCTGAGTTCCAGGCATCCTGTGAAGAAGGCCTTTACAGCTGTGTCTCATTTAATCCTCACGACAGTCCTATGAAAATAAAGATATTTTCGTTGTCATCCGATAGATGCCTTAAGCTGTTAACTCCTTTCGGACTTTGAATCAGCATTTATCTTTGATTTATGAATGCTTTCCAGTGTGTTTGAAATGGTCCAGTCTTGTTGCTCTCGTCCTCCTCGTGTTTTGCTGTGTTTCCCTGGGGGGTTCAGGGTATGTTCTCAGCTGCATAACTAGATGTGCAGGCTGCTTGACATGAAGCATGTCACTCAGACAATGGGCAGAGCGTGTGATGTCACGAGTGGGTCCCGGAAACGGAGACCGAGTGAGCTGAGTGCATAACTGACACGCCCTCTCCTCTCCCCAGCTCTCTGTGACATGCATCCCATGAGAGCCCTGTTTCTCATCCCCCGAAATCCTCCTCCCCGGCTGAAGTCCAAAAAATGGTAAGATACGTGTGCTTTGTTGTCATTCTCTTCCTTTTTTTTAAAAAAAGAAAAGTGTTCCTTTTTAGTTTGACTTAAGGACAGAATCCTGGGCATTCTGACTCCCAAAGAACGCAAGAGTCAGTGTCCTAAAACACAAGTTACAAAGTGTATTGCTTTAGTTTTTAATGTTCTTTTTCCTCTTGATCCATTGTCCTTGAATGATAAAATAGCACCAAGTGACTCTATGAAACACCATCACAATATTTTAAAAAAGGTTCTATTTTAATATTTAAATATACTTCTCAGTGTAGTGGACTCCCCTGGTGTCTGAGACAGTAAAGAATCTTCCTGCCATGCAGGAGACCCTGGTTTGATCCCTGAGTCAGGAAGATCCCCTGGAGAAGGGAATGGCAACCCACTCCAGTATTCTTGCCTGGAGAATCCCATGGACAGAGGAGCCTGTAAGGCTATAGTCCATAGGGTCGCAGAGTCAGACATGACCAAGCAACTAACCCACACTCAGTGTAATAGATTTCTGTACGGCTGTACATGAAGAAGCAAAGTTGTGTTGACTTGTACTTTCTAGTTGAAGGGATATTTTAATAAAACTCATGGAAGGGTTCACTGCCATCATGGCAGGACGTTGAAGTCTGAGGGGCCCTTGCTGCCCGAGCAGAACGTGTTGGAGGAGGGGTCCTCTCCCTGGGCTGCCCCTTCTTTCCCCCTCCCGATTAATTCTGATAAACAGCGTCGATCCCGGGGAGGGAGATGGTGCCAACCTCCAGGCACAGAAGAGTTCAGAAGTGCAGTGGGGCGGGCAGATGCTGCTTTGGTGTGGTTTTGAAGTCTCGGAGGAAGAACACAGTGCTTTGTTCTTTTGGCCTGAGAATTTTGCCCCCTCGCTCCCTCTGAGGGTTGTTGTGAACCTTCCCTGTGGGCGCCTGTCTGTGCCCGGGCCCCCGTGCATGCGGGCCCCCCTCCCGCCCTGCTGTTCTGTTTGCTGGGCTTGGCTGTCGGTCTTACCTGCTGTGTGTGTGTGTTTTCCTTCCTGAAGCTGTTCTCACCTGTTTTCCAGGTGGTGGTGTCTCCTCTTAGGTTCTTGCTTCTAATTCTGAAATACACCAGAGGTCCCCGTTTTGGCCTCCTCCTACCAGCCGTTGGGGTGTAGGGTGCTTCAGACGGTAAAGAATCTGTCTGCCATGCAGGAGACCTGAGTTCAGTCCCCGGGTCGGGAAGATCCCCTGGAGAAGAAAATGGCAACCCATTCCAGTATTCTCGTCTGGAGAATTCCCTGGACGGAGAAGCCTGGCGGGCTGTAGTCCATGGCGTCCCAAGGAGTGGTATATGGCTGAGCGACCAACACTTTTACTTTACCAGCTGTTAGGTCTGCTCTTTTCGGGGGCGCATCCTCTGATGTCCTAGAGCAGCGGTCCCCAACCTTTTGGGCATCAGGGACCGGCTTCATGGAAGACAGTTTTTCCACTGACTGGGGGCGGGGGGAAGGTTTTGGGGTGATTCAGGAGCATTACATTCAGGATTTGAGCTCCTCTAAGAATCTCACACTGTAGCTGATCTGCCAGGAGACGGAGCTCAGGTGATAGAGAGAGCAATGAGGAGTGGCAGCAAATACAGGGGAGGCTTCACTCCCTCGCCCACTGCTCACCTCGTGCTGTGTGGGCTGGTTTCTAACAAGCCGTGGACTGGCATGGATCTGGGGGTTGGGGTCCCCTGTTCCAGAGGCCGCTAGTCCACTGGTGTAGACACGCACATGTATTTTCACCCTTGTTTCTCTCCTGTTCCCTTCTGTCTTCCCGTCTTCCCCCTTTCATCTGCTGGCGAGATTTCCTCTTCCTTCATCCTTTTTTCACCACATTCAGCTCCAGGGAACCGAGGTGGTCTGGTTCCACTTACCAGTTCTTGGAGAGGTACTTTAAGGCAATGATTGAGCCCCAGTTGGTCTCCTGTATCATTAGACCATGACAGCCGTGTGCGCCCACGGGTGGCCAGCCCTGGGAAACCACATGCGAACAGCAGGTGTCACTAGGGAGTCAGCTGTGGGGCTGGTGACACTTTATCCGCCTCGTGCTAAACTGAGCAACGCTCATTTTCTCTTTGCTTATTCTCAGATTTTATTGAAGGGACTTTATGCTCCATCTTCAGGGTATCTTCGCAGTTTGTAAGTCAGTCGGTTATGCCGTCTGTGACTTGCAGGCGTGGATCAACTGCTGTGTTACAGAGCACGGTGAAATAAAGAGACATGTGTAGATAACAGTGGAGCCTCCCTGTGTTCTTTCACCAAACTGCCTCTAGCTAAGCTGGATCAGATGCATTCTCAGCAGTTCACATCACTGCCTCAGCTTACCCGGGTGCTCCGAAGGGTCGAGAGGTTCACAAGCGTGAAGGCTGTCTTCCTTTACGGATGCTGTCTTCCTGTCTGCAGGTCGTGAGTTTCCACAACCACTTTGGCAGAAGTGGCCTTTGAAAATGATCAGCAAATTCTCAGCAGAAGCTGACAGTTGTGTTTAAAGACTGTATCGTAGACGATCATTTCTCTGGTGTTAATCTGTACATGGCCCGTGAGAAGCCCTTTGGAATTCTTTATCTTAAGGTTTCATCCTCAAACTCTCCAGTGTGAAGGTCGGAGGAGTGACTCAGGCATTTGTATTTTTAATAAACTCCCCAAATGGTCCTCCTGGGCCCCGGGATTTGGGACTCCATATGCCGTAGCGTTCCTCTATTGCTGTGTAGAATCCTGTGCATTCCTCCTTAACCACAGAACAAGGCCTCAGCTTCTTCAGGTGGCTGAGGGCCCTTTCCTGCGCTGACCCTGACCTAGTTCTTTTAACTCTTTTTCCGCTTTTCATTGCAACGTCAGAAAGCAGTTCACCGTCCCCCTTGGACTCTGCCGCCTCGTCACTGTGGGACGGTGGCTTTTCTTGGGAAGGTTAAACATCCTCCTTTTTCTTGATGTGGAACCCACTCCACTGCCTCAGTTCTGTTTTCTTCCTCAAAATTTGATTATACATCTGCTATTGAATATACACACACTGTTTCCTATGTGTGTGTCTTACAGCATAAACAAATGTAAATTGTTGACACATAAATATTTGTTGGATTGAACAAAAATAGTAAGTTCTGAGTACAAATAGAGGAGAGAAGAACTGATTCTCTCTTTTCCAGTTTTTTTTTTAATACTTACTTTTATATTGGAGTATGCTTGATTTACAATTATCATGTTAGTTTCAAGTGTGCAGCAAAGCGATTCAGTTACTCATATACATGTACCTGTTCCTTTTCAAATTCTCTTCCCATTTGGGTTGTTACAGAGTATTATGCAAAGCTTCCTTGTGCTATACAGTAGGTCCTTGACATTATCTGTTTTATTCGTTTATTTTTTAAATTTTTTATTTTATATTGGAGTGTAGCCAGTTAATAATGTGATAGTTTCAGGTGGAAAGAAAGAACTCTTAAAGCATGAAGTAACTGGAAAGACTGAACTCATTCTCTCAGTCACATTTTTAAAGACTGAATAACTCATTCATTCAACAAAAATTTACTGCATACCTGTTGTAGTTGACATGCTCCGAGCTGGGCCTTGCTGACAAACGGGAAAGCAGGAACCAGTCCTGACCTGTACGGTTATAAACCAGGAGGAGAGACAGACGTAAACGTGAAGTGCGCAGTGTGTTACATGCAGAGAGCCCGAAAGGAAGGGCTCCTGGCTTAGGGCGTGTGGTGCAGTGTTGCCAGGAAAGGTTTATGGACAGGAAGCTGTCAGAGCCGAGTCTCCAATAACAGGGTGGCTGAGAGTGTCTCTGCTGAGGCCACGGAGGGGTCACCAAGAGCCAGAAATGGAGAAATGAGCAAAAATGAAGTGTCTGGTGGGGTAATGTTGGCAACAGGGTCACTGCCCCCCTCAGCACTGTTACTTCTGCCTTTGTCCATTAAGTGTAGGGCTTCCCTGGTGGCTCAGGGGTGAAGACTCCGCCTGCCAGTGCACAAGACATGGTTTGATGCCTGGGTTGGGAAGATCCCCTGGAGGAGGGAATGGCAGCCCGGTCCAGTATTCTTGCCTGGGAAATCCCATGGCCAGAGGAGCCTGGTGGGCTGCAGTCCATGGGGCTGCAAGAACCAGACATGACTTAATGGCTAAACAGTGACATAAAGGGTAGAGAGCTGACACGTAACTCAGCCTAAAACTGATGGAAATGTTACCCGAACAAGATCCAGATCCTCAAGCCACTTACCTGGGTCCCTCTCTCGTCCCGTGTCTGTCCTTGTCTGTAAGGATCCACCATCTCTCCTCTGTCACCTTTACGTTCGCGAAGGCCTTCCTTCACTCGCTTTCCTCCTCCCCCGGAATCCACGATCAACAGGCAGCATTAACTCCCACTGCCCCTGCGGCCCCCAAAGTGCAGTGTGACTCCTGAACTGTGTCCCCCAGGGTCCCTGCTTCGTGCCTGTTTTATCCCCGTGCATTTGCAGCGTTGCTCACAGTGAATCCTGAAGCCTCGCCTCATGTACCAGCTTGTAAGTTACTGGTATTTTGGAGCTTTGCTCTTCATGGTAGAAATCTGATGATCTTTTTTTTACTTTCTCTTTTAGGTCCAAGAAGTTTTTTAGTTTTATAGAAGGATGCCTGGTGAAGAATTACATGCAGCGGCCCTCCACTGAGCAGCTTCTGAAGCATCCTTTCATTAGGGATCAGCCGAACGAAAGGCAGGTTAGAATCCAGCTTAAGGATCATATAGACCGGACCAGGAAGAAGAGAGGAGAGAAAGGTATGAAGTCTGGCTTTATTCTCATCTTAAATATTCTTTTAGGGTTTTGCCAACCAGAGTAGGTTGTCCCTTTCCTACTCGAGTTTGGGCTCATCTGGCCAGGGCTTGAGTGTCTTGACCAGCTTGGTCTAGGGGCCAACCTGGCTCCGGCAGTGGCGACCCCGGGCAGTGGGGCCCTGCAGCCGGTCAGTCCGTGATGCTGTCTTGTCCACCTCGGGTCACAGCTTGCTGGCTGTGCTTCTTACCGCGCTGGGGGTCTCATTCTCCGTGTGGGCCATGCCGAGCTCAGCGTCACCATGGGCCTGTTACAGACTTCTCTCCTGCCCACGGGTTTCCGGTGCTTCATGCTGTCGTGGGGGCTGTGGCAGGCCTGTGCCCTTGTCTCCTTTTGCTGTTCTATTTCATCAGTTTTTCCCTGGCTCCTCCTTTATACTTAATAGCTTTTTTATTTTAGTTGAAGTATAGTCGATTTACAATGTTGCGTTCTTTTCTGATGTAAAGTGATTCAGTCATATGTATATATATTCTTTTTCATATACGTTTCCATTATGGTTTGCAGCAGGATATTGAATATAGTGCCCTGTGCTGTTTGGTAGGACCTTGTTGTTTATGTATAGTGGTGTGTATCTGGCGGCTTCCCAGGTGGTGCTAGTGGTAAAGAACTTGCCAGCCAGTGCAGGTAGACCTAAGAGACTCAGATTCGATCCCTGGGTTGGGAAGATCCCCTGGGGGGGGGGGGGGGCATGGCAACGCACTCCAGTATTCTTGCCTGGAGAATCCCATGGACAGAGGAGGCTCCTGGGCTATAGTCTATACGGTTGCAAATAGTTGGAGATGACTGAAGCGACTTAGCACACAGTGTGTTGTGGTATCTGCTAATCCCAAACTCTGAATTCATCCTGTCCCTCTCTTTCCCCCTTGGTAACCATCAGTTTTCCGTGTCTGTGATTCTATTTCTGTTTTGCATGTAAATCAGTTGATTTGTATCATTTTTTTAGATTTCACAAATACGTGATATATGGAATTTGTCTTCCTCTGCCTGATTTACTTCACCTTTATAATTTTGGGGAACATGTGATTTTGGTTTTCTGCTTGAGTACCTACTTTTTCTCCATCCCGCAGACTTTTGTCTGCTGTTCTCTAAGATGATCCCTAAGTGCTAAAAATAACTGAATATATTCTCTTATTGCTTTAGTTTAGGCAGTTAAACCTCTCTCTGTTTTGACATCAGAGTGGACTTTGTGAATCTGCTGATGCTCATGGCCCATTTTTCTTTCATGTCGTGGGCTCTGTAGCCCCTCTCCCAGCCCTGCGCCCCCTGAGCTGAGCATCCCACAAGGGATTGTCGCGAGCATAAGGGAGTCAGTTCCTCTGCTGGCCCGGGGCCTGAGCACCCATCACAGTGGACTCCCCGTCAAGGTCTTCCTCCCCGCGAGTGTCCCACACGCGTCACTGTTTTCTCCGGGAACAGGTGGTTGATGCTTCCCTTGTGAGCCGCGTCGCCACTGTGCGCCGGCCCGCTCACCCTGTCTGTCCTTTCCAGATGAGACCGAATATGAGTACAGCGGGAGTGAGGAGGAGGAAGAGGAGGCGCCCGAGCAGGAGGGGGAGCCCAGGTAAGGACGGGGCGCCCGCCGGGGCCAGGCTGCGGGCCCAGGTAAGCACGGCGCGCCCGCCGGGGCCGGGCTGCGGGGGCACCCTTGTCGTGGGGGGGTCGTCAGCTGCTCTGAAGATGCCTTAATACCTTCCTTCCTTCAAAGACTCTTGTAAACACTCTCCCGCTCTGGAGCTGCCTGCTGGTTCTTCACTGAGACTGTGTTGCTTCCTCTCCCCGCGGTTTGGAAATGGGCAGGCTGCGTTTGGCCCTGGGGCAGGGGAGCTTACCCATGGCAGTTCTTTTCCAGGAGGTGTGGATGGAAAACGTCTTGTAGCTTGTGACCCAGTCCTGCACAAACTGAATTGTCCCACTCACGGGCCACTTAGGGCCTCCGCTAAAAACACTACAGTCTTCCCCAAAACACACCTGTTGGCTGGTTGGTTTTCCCATTCCCACCCGTGTGGTCACCAGCAATCACTGCCTTTATGAGGATGCATTTTGGGCTGATCCATTCTGTAGTCTGTTTTGGCCCTCTCTGGCTCCCCAAGACACAGCTAAGCAGAAGGTTGAAGATTTGGTAGCAGGAACCTCATAGTGACTCATTAATCAAGGAAGAGAGGACTTAAAAGCTTTAATAATGGTCTTGTCTGCCTGGTGTCCAATGTAGCTGACTAGCTGGTCACAAGGAGGGCCTGGACTGTGGTTGAGAGACCCTGTGTGCAGAGAATGGATGTTTGAAGAGAGCATATCAAGACAGGAGAGAATTTATTGGAAAAAAACTCCATCACATCTTTTTGTAATTACATGAAAGATTTGAATCCATTTGAGACAAATTTTGAGAGCAGTGTGAACTGATTGCATGAGCAGTATGGTTGTTTGGGGTCAGGGATGTGATATAATGGAAGAGTATGGTTGTTTGGGGTTAGGGATGTGATGTAATGGAAGAGGCAATTGAGGATTTCTTTGCCATGTGATTCTGGGGGGTTTGAGAGTGGAGAAGTGACTCTCCCCCGGGAAGCCAGCTGGGAGGGATGTGGTTCAATTTACCTGTGTGGTGGCGCATCCTCGGGACCCTTGGGCTCAGCTGCCGGGAATAGAGAGAGCGAGAGGGTTACGCGGCAGGGAACGGGACCAGACAGGAAGGCGAGGATCGGTACATGCTGATGGTGACTCCGCTGTGACTACCTGTCTTGCCCGAAATGTGCTGATGCTGTTCCTGATGGGAAGTCAGGTGGTCACAGAGGGTCTAGCAACGGGTGGAAGATGGTGGCTTCAGCTTTCCGCTGCACAGTTTGGGTGGATGTGAGAATCCTACCTAGAGACGTCCTGTCAAATAAGACACCCAGGACAGAGTTTTATGGTATTTATGACCATATGAAAGAAAGATGAAAGATGATGCTATTGAACTGTGTGTGCTAAGTTGCTTCAGTCGTGTCCAACTCTTTGTGACCCCATGGACTGTAGCCTGCCAGCCTCCTCTGTCCGTGCAATTTTCCAGACAAGAATACTGGAGTGGGTGGCCATTCCCTTCTTCAGAGCCTACCTAGAGATGTCCTGTCAAATTAAACACTCAGGACTGAGTTTTAAGGTATTGATGATGCAGATGAAAGAAGAGGTGATGCTATTTAACTGTAGGTTTTGGTTATCCCCGTGGGTTTGTCTACCGGGTCTCGGGGTGGGAGGAGCCCAGCAGATGTAGATGTGGACGTGGACTGGCTCGCGCCCCTGAAAGCCCCTCACCTGCTTCCTCCCACAGCTCCATCGTCAACGTGCCGGGGGAGTCGACACTGCGCCGGGACTTCCTGCGGCTCCAGCAGGAGAACAAGGAGCGCTCCGAGGCCCTGAGGAGGCAGCAGCTCCTGCAGGAGCAGCAGCTCCGGGAGCAGGAGGAGTATAAACGGCAGCTGCTGGCGGAGAGGCAGAAGCGGATCGAGCAGCAGAAGGAGCAGAGGCGGCGGCTGGAAGAGGTAGAAGAGGACAGTGTTCGAGGCGGGTCCCACTGTCTAGTCCCAGGGGCATCCAGGTGCTCCGAGGGCCATTCTCCGTGGTCCTCCCCCTGGCTTGGCCACGCCAGGCACGCTGGTTCCCTCCGGCAGGACGGCACGTGCCCAGAGGCCCCAGGAATGTTCTTCCCTTGTGGGATCTTTAGGGACCCGCCCTGTCCCGTTACTCATCCTCTTCATGCAGGCCGTGGGTGGCGTCACCCTGGGTCTGCGGAGGCCGTGTCCACTGCGGTCTGAGTCGGCTGGCTCGGCCTTGACCTCGTTTTGCTTTCACTCTTGGCCTCGGGGTCCAAGCTGGTGTGTCATAAATATTTTCCTAGAACTTTCAGACCTTTCCACAGGGAAAACTTTTTTTTTCTACAAATGCCTTCACTTCACGTTCATTTAAGAGGGAAAGATAAAGAAAAGAATTACATCGGGCATAATACAAATGCTGTTTTGTAATCTGGCGGTTGTGGGGGATTAGTTCTTTGTAGGGGACACTTTTTGTACCATCAGCTCCTTTAACTCACTGAGACTGTCAACACTGGTAATGTGATTACTAGGGCTGCTTCCTTTTTAATTCTCAGAGACACTGTTCCCTATATTTCACTTGAGGCTCAAAAGACCCTTTTTCTTTTTTAATCTAATTTTAAGTTGTTTTAATTTTTTGTTTTCTTTCCCTGACTGCCATTTACTGTATACTTCACAGCTTCAGATTTCTCACTTACAGTAGTTTATTTCCATTTACTTCATCTTGTTGTTTCACCTTTATCCTTGATGCCAGGAAAAAGAACCCCAAAGAACAGTCAACCTATTGATACTGTACAGTGGAGTTTAATTTAAATAACAGCACATGGAGTTTTTTTTCCCCCAAAGATTTTCTGTGTGTGTGTGGATCATTTTTAAAAAATTTTTTGTTGAATTTGTTATGGTGTTGCTTCTGTTACATGTTTTGGTTTTTTTTGGCCAAGAGGTACTTGGGATCTTTGTACCCCAGCCAGGGATCGAACTTACACCCCTGCATTGGAAGGTGAAGTCTTAACCACTGGGTTGGCAGGGAAGTCCCACCACACATGCTTTTTCCCAAGCTACTTAAGGGTACATTTTGTGGAGAAAACCTCTGCTTTGTTCTGTGTGTTATCTGGTTGCTCAGTGGTGAAGAATCCACCTACCAGGGCAGGAGACGTAAGAGACGTGGGTTTGGTCCCTGGGTCGGGAAGATCCCCTGGAGGAGGAAATGGCAATCCGCTTCAGTGTTCTTGCTGAGAAATCCCATGGACAGAGGAGCCTGGCTGTTTACAGTCCACGGGGTTGCACACGAGTCGGACATGACTCAGCAACTGAGCCTGCATGCACACAACTTCTATTAAAGTCAGTAAGCCAGTGCAGTATCTGTGAATGAACCCCACTATTATCAGCACCGACCTTGTAAGAAAAGTTAAGACTTTTGAGATGAAAGTACTGCTTTTAAATGCTGATCTGGAAAAAGAACTTCAAGATAATTAAAGCATAGTTGGAAAAGTACATATTTACTTAGGCATGCTTGGAAAAATTTAAGTAAGAAGGAAATCTCTTTATAACTTGAGAGCTTTGGAAATGACTTTACAGCACCATGTAGGTTTTCAGTTTGTTAGATTTTGTTTTTAAAGAAAGAATGATTTAAGAAAATAAGAATGACAGTTTGAAAATACTTCAAAGGATTTTTATTATGTTTATCATTCTTAATGGGGTAACCTGAGCAGGCATGTTTCTTAGACTCTTGGGTTTTGTTGCTTGAAATCGCAGGCAGAACATTAATCCAGTGTGGATTGATGTTGCTGAGTTGGTGGCTGATGGTGTGTGTGTTTACTTTTGGCCATTTTCTTTTAACATTCTATTGTAAAAGGCCAGCTTTTCATCTTAGTGATCTCTTAAGGTATTTATTTACTAAGGGTCTTCTTTAACCCCCCAGCACACCCCAACTAAGGGCCTGTTCTGACTGTAGTGGTTTGTATGGTTGGAGTTTAAATTTTGGCTCTTGATCCAGTTTGCAGCTTCAAGTACTAGCACATAATGTGGAAGAGGAATTGGTAACTGCATTGTTCTTTGCCTCGGCCATCAGCCTCCCAGCCAGGACTTGTTTAGTGAATTAGTCAGGGAAATGTACTGCGTGCCACATTATCCTGTGGATTTTTAAGAAGTGTGTGGCTTATCTTACCTATAAGACTTGGACGAGAGGGGGTGTGTCTGATTCATTTTGTGTTCCCATGATGCTTCATGAGTATTTCTCAAAAGGAGGAATCGGCATTTGTAGCTTGGGTATAAGTGTCCTGGGAACTCGCACCCATTCTTTAATGAACTTTTGGGCTTGAGATCTCTTGAGTTCCAGAGCCACCTTTGTTGTTGTTTAGACGCTCAGTTGTGTCCAACTCTTTGCAACCCCATGGACTGTAGCCCACCAGGCTCCTCTGTCTGTGGAATTCTCCAGGCAAGAAGACTGGAGCCGCTTGCCGTTTCCTTCTGCAGGGGATCTTCCCAGCCCAGGGATCCAACCTGCGTCTCCTGCATTGGCAGGTGGATTCTTTATTGTTGAGCCACCAGGGAAGCCCTGTAGCCACCTCAGAGGACCTGGCAGAACATCCTTAGCCACAGAGGACGTGTTACTTTCTCTCTGAAACGTTCCTTTGTCTTCTCTGGAGACAGAAATTTGTACCCTGAGGCTGGTGTGAGGTGGGCCCTTGACTCAGTGGCCGTGCAGTGGGCAGGGTGTGTAAGCACCCAGCGCTGCTTCTGCTGCAGCCTGTCTGCCTGACCTGGAGGGGAATTGTTACATATCCACAGCCTTCCTCTGTTGTGGTTCTTGAGCTACACTAGAGACTTCCTTGCTGTTGAGTCTCTAAGTTGTATCTGACTCTTGGGGACCCCATAGACTGCAGCACTGCCAGTACTGGAGACTGTTTCAATGTAAATTAACTTTAGTGAAATAAAAGGAAAAGCTCAGTTCCCCCCAGTTTAGGTGCTGGGTAGCAGCCTGGGGCGGTGGCCGCTGTGCTGAGATAGGGTACCTCTCCATCCCAGGGGTGCTGCCGGCCAGCATTCTGCACGTTTGTGGGAGGACTTGATTTGTGCTCCACGCGGTGGCCCTACTTCACTGACAGAGGCGCGTCTGGGCCGGATGAGAAGTGGCCAGACGTGCGCCCAGGTCACACTGGTACTCAGAGGAAAGGCTGTGAGAGCAAGTCTGCCGCCTAGTAGCACCTGTTAATAGAATGCAGGGTGCTGTCTGGTTAACGGTGGGAGTCAAGAGTGGTCTTGACCGGGAGCCCGCCACCCTGTCAGCACTGGACAGGTGACTCACGTTTCGTCCTCAGTGGGGTAGGAGTGAGGGGCTTCCTGGGTTTGTCATGAGAGCTGCAGTAGGTAAGGGGACGTCGAAGGAAGGTTGTCAGATCCTTAGCACCGTGCAGACACAGGGTGAGCTTGAGCTACCGTGGTGTTTATCTTCACGAATAATAATCATGACATCTCTTAATTTTCTTGGTGTCGCTTCCTCTTTCCCTGAGGTATGCTTCTTTTTTTCCCTCTTTTAAGTATTTCTCTCCTCCACCCCCCCCATTTCTGTTCTCCTGTATTCATTTCTCTACTTTTCCTTCTGACTTAAGAGCCTTGAGTAACCCTGTCAGTGATACTCAGAGGTACTGAATTTGTCATTCCCTCGTTGCTGTGGTTCAGTGAAGAACAAGGAATAACTGATATCAAAATGAAACCCAGCTCTGACCTGTACTTTTGAGGATGCTGGCGTGTGTGGGCAGAGGACAGCATGGAAGTAGTCGGCTGGTGGAGGTGGGGTCCCCCAGCCCCGCTCTCGCATCTCCCTGTAAGCGGACAGCACGCCGTCCTGGGCACTGTGGCCGGGCAGTCTGCTGACAATGCACCATCTTGACTTTCACAGCAACAAAGGAGAGAGCGGGAAGCCAGAAGGCAGCAGGAACGTGAGCAGCGGAGGCGGGAACAGGAGGAGAAGAGGCGGCTGGAGGAGCTGGAGAGACGGCGGAAGGAAGAGGAGGAGCGGAGGCGGGCGGAGGAGGAGAAGAGGAGAGTGGAGAGGGAGCAGGTCAGTCCTCGGGGGTGTTCTGGCCGGGACTTTGGGACTCTGTCACTTGGCGGAGTTGGGGGATTGCAGGCAGAAAGTACACATAACATACGCGTGTGCACACGCGCACATGCACACACACAGAAGTTTAGGACTTTAGAGGTTGGAGAATGCAGAAACAGTTGGAAGCATTCACTCTAGTAAATTGAATCTCTTGTCTTTACCAAGAGATACATAAATCATTACACTTCAGACACATACACATAATGAGACACATCTCATTATGATGCCTGAAAGATTTCTAAATGTGTCCTCTCGGGTTTGGCTTAAATGCTTTGAACCTCAAATATCTGGATAATAAAAAGGGAAATTTAAAACCAACCATGAGACATTTCCTATGAGAAATGTTTGAAGCATCCAATGACTGATTATTTTAAGATATATTTGCAGATATTAATAATTCAGTGTGTACATAATGTAACATTAGAATAACTGATAACATTAGCCAAACAAATGCCATCATATTTTAGTGATATTTATAGCATGTTAATGTCAGATTATGTTGTCTTCAGGAATCTGATTCCTGAACCAGCTCTGCAAACAGAAATTGTGCATTTTTTCATCTGTGTGAATCCCATCATGCCCCCCCTGGCTTTCGTGCCTTTGAGTTGATCAGTCTTTGTTATGAGCTTTGAATAAAGGAAAACAGATATGAATGGGGACCAATTTAAATGATACCTGAAATTCATGCTTAGAATGCTTATAAACAATGGTATTAGCATCCAAATCTGATTATTCCACTACTACCCTGAGACTCATCCTTTGTCTTGGGTTTCCCTAGTGTTGGGTCTACGTAACATTTTTTTGTTGCTGTTGGAGTTTAAGTTATTCTATCTCTTTCTTTACTGACTTTGGTGGCCAGTTAACTGTGGTGTGTTTAGGTTTCATTTGCTGACTTATACTTGGGGACTACAGAGAGGAGTAAATATACGCTTGAAAAAATTAAGTCATCGAGGAGTAATTGTTGAAACTTGATTGGGAGAAGAGGTGTGACTCTAATACTAACCTTCAGTGTTCTAGTAGAGTCACTGACTTTCATGTATAGCAGGTGTTCCTCATCTCCTCTTTTATAAAAATAGCATCAGAGGTCAGTTTTATTCCAAAATATTCCCCGTGTCAGCCGTGCTGTAGGAACACATCATTTCTGTGTGAACGTGGGTGTCTGTATACATGTGTCCTTGTCCAACTGTCCCTGTGATATGAAGGCAGAAAACCAGCGACATCCTGACCTGAAGCTGCAGCTGTGATTCAGTTGTTTGGTTTGGAGAAGTGGGGAGCCGGGAGTCGGGGTCCTGTCGGTCATTAGGGGGCGGGGGGTGCGGTTGGGCACACTCCCCAGAGCAGGTCTTGGCCATCCTGGGGGCGTGGTGCAGGGGAGCGTCTGTGTCCCGGACTGGAGCCTGGATTCGAGTCCAGGGCCCTTTGCCAGTGGCCTGTGGATACACTTTACCTAGATTGAATTTTGGGGGACTAAATTTGCTTTGTAAAGAAAAACTTTCTGAGGGAAATTTATGCCATGGTTTCTGCTCTCTAGCATTCTCTCCACCTGTTCAGCCCAGTTGTATGGCTGCTTTTAGGGCATACACTCAGCGGTAGACACTGCAAAGAAATAATCTGAATAATCTGAATTTCAAAATAAAATCTCCTCCCCGACGCCTCAGTCTTCTCCTTTACTGGAGAAGTGAGCTTTTCCCCTGTTGAAAGGGAGCCTTTTATTTGTAAAATCTTGGTGCTCTTCGAAGTAATTTCATGTCTATTTCATATATGAACCTCATAAAAAGTCCTGAGAGTTGGGAGAGAATATTCTTGATGCTCATTTCCCCAAACAGAAGACTGAGAAAGTGGGTGGCCGAGGCCTTGTGGGAAACTCGTCTGATTGTTGGCGGATCGAGGTCTCCTGATTTCCCATCCCATCAAGTACGCAGCCAGCTCCACAGTTGGGATTTTCCCTTTTACATCATGTATTTTGGATGTGTTTACCTGGTTATTTTTGTTTGTTTCGCTATAGAGGTTTATCATTCTCTTCCCATTGAAAAGAAGTCACAACCCCCCCCCCCCATAGACAGACACAGACACACACACACACATCTGCTTACCCCACAGACAGACAGACAGTCACACACACACACACACACACACCTGCTTACCCCACAGACACACACACACACGTCCACTTACCCCACAGACACACAGACACACACACACACGTCCGCTTACCCCACAGACACACACACACACGTCCACTTACCCCACAGACACACCCCACAAACACACACACACACACGTCCGCTTACCCCACAGGCGCACACACACACACGTCCGCTTACCCCACAGACACACACATAGACACACACACACGTCCGCTTACCCCACAGACACACACCCCCCCCATCACTGTTCATCTGGGAGAAGCCTCCTGTGTCTGGTGTCCCACGCCAGGACTTTGGGAATATACTCGTTGTCCTTGTGTGTTAAAGAAAAAAACAAAGCTTGGTTATTTAATATTAAACAGTTTTTGGTTTGGGGTTTTAAAAGTTGGCAATTCATGCTTGTTATAAATAGTAATTAATTATCAGACATACATTAACGTGAACACTCTGGTCTCCTCATTAGACTCTTGGTTGCTCTGGGCTTACCTTCTGAAGAGGAGCAGCCTGGTCCTTGCAGAGCTTCCGTTTGTGTGCAGCAGCCGCGTGCAAACAGAATAACTCACCCATGCCTTTGTGGTTGTCATTGGCGTGCATGTCATTATTTATTAGACTCTCCAGGTCTCAGAGGCCAATTCGAAGTTCCTGGGAGGGAGGATATCCTTGGCAGTGGGCTTTTTCAGCCATTTGTGGCGAAGTGAGTCACCCCCAGATGGTGGGGGCAGACAGCTGTGGGCACCGCATGCAGGCAGTCTTGACGCTTCCCTCGGGGACCCGCTGATTGCGCATGCTCTCTGTGCGACAGGAGTACATCCGACGGCAGCTGGAAGAGGAGCAGCGTCACCTGGAACTGCTTCAGCAGCAGCTGCTCCAGGAGCAGGCCATGCTACTGGTAACGCCCCGCACGGCCCCACCCCGTGGCTAGGGCACCCCGAGCTGGGCAGGGCCCTGCCGACCCCCGGGGCCCCTGTGGCAAGAGCCACAGGGCTGGCCGCCTCTCACGGACACGTCCTCTGGGCTCCCGCTGCCGTTGGGCGCACCAGAGGCGGCGTTTCATCCCTTCTCTCCCGTTGCTGAGCTCCGTGTTCTCATTCAGTAGATAGATAAGGTTTTGCGCAGCGCACGTGGCATTTGGTGAACAAGCTAGGATGCTGAGAGTGGACGGTGCAAGGCACATGCCTTAGGGACTTTTACCTAGACTCTTCCAGGTGTCTTTTGAAACCTGCATTTCCGGGGCAGGGGTTTCTCTCTACCTGTCCGGTGACCTTATGGTTAGTGGCCCGCGGTCAGATTTTCCCGCAGGTCTCCCGCCATTCTGCATCCTGGCTGTTTTGCTCTGTCACGAAGCCAGCATCAGCGCACGCTGTCCTGGGGAGAAGAGCCGGGGCGAGGCAGGCCCCCGGGGCCCTGGACTGAGTGTGCCCTCTCCCCCCAAGGAGTGCCGCTGGCGCGAGCTGGAGGAACACCGGCAGGCGGAGCGGCTCCAGAGGCAGCTGCAGCAAGAACAAGCCTATCTCCTGTCTCTGCAGCACGACCCCCGGAGGCCGCCCCCGCCGCCAGACAGGAGCAAGGCCGGCCTGCACGAACCCAAGGCCCAGCAGGAGCCCGCTGACCGGGCCCGCGAGGTACGGCGCCCCGCGCCCTCTGCCCCTCAGGGAGTGGAGGGTGGCCGGGGCCGGGGGGGCCCCTTCTCTGCTTGGTGGCGTCTCGCGAGGACCGAGCGCCTCTTTCACGGTCCCCAGCCACCTGAGCACGGGCCTAGACGGGAAGGCGGGAGGTCGTGTGGCAGCATCCTTCCGTCCCTGTCATGGGGGGAGGGTGGCCTGCTCAGCTGTTTTCCCAGAGCTGCCGTTTGGATGAAGTGTCCCTGGGCCCGACTCACTGGATTTTTGGTGATAAGGGTTTATTTTCTGAATTGGGGCCTGTGGGCTCCCAGGGCCTGTGGCAGGGATGTTGGCAGAGCAAGATGGTTGCTAGGATTTGAGCAGGATGGACTGGGCGGCCCGTAGGGTATGGATGCTGGCCCGTCGGGGGCTTCCAACCAGGCCCTCACGTGGTACCTTCTAGAAGCAAATGTCCTGCTTGCTTGGCAGTGCCTTGATTTTTGGTGGAATGAAACGTGCTAGATTCCTGGTGATATTCAGTGGGTTTAGTTGGTTGCAAGAGATTAATTTCTTTTCTTGGCTTATCTTCACATGCACTCCTAGCATCCAGCTGGTGGGGGGAGGTCTTAAAGGCTGCCTCTCTCAATTTTGATCTTTGTGGCGATTTCTTGATCCTGCCTAAGATCGCTGTCTTGTGCTATCTGCCTCTGTCTCTTTTCTTGTGGTTGAAGAAAACAGAAGACTTCTCATTAGGGTCCTTCCACTTTCAGGCTGTCTCCAGTGTCTCTGCTTTTTTTTTTCTTTCTCTCCTACTAACCCTGAGTTCTGTCTCCTGATTCTCTGACGCAGGTGGAAGATAGATTTAGGAAAACTAACCACAGCTCCCCCGAAGCCCAGTCTAAGCAGACGGGCCGAGTATTGGAACCTCCAGTGCCTTCCAGATCAGAGTCTTTTTCCAGTGGCGACTCCGAGTCTGTGCACCCTGCCCTGCAGAGACCCGCCGAGCCACAGGTAGAGTGGCCCGTGGGCTGTGTGGGTCAAGGAGACGCTCACAGAGGCTCGGCGAGCCACCAGCCTGCTCGGACAGCTCAGTTTGGTTTGTTCAGAAAGGGAAGCTGTTAGCAGAGTGAGTTTAGACTAAAGGGGACCTGGCCTCAGTGGGTAGGGAAAACCAGGGTTCTCTTCCACACGATTGTTGTTGTGCCTACTAAGAACATCTAGATTCGGTGATTTCTTCTTTCTAACTTTTCGTCTTCACTGACTCAGATGTTCGTAAAGCAGTGCCTCCTTACTGAATACAAAGACTTTTCCGTTCAGGATATAGAAAGTTACTGTTGTAAGTATGCAAAGGGAGACCTTATCTCAACCTGGGGAGTTCTGTGAGTGGGAGGCCCTGAAATTCTTTTATATTTTAAAATGTTTATATAAACATACATATTTTTGGAGTGGGAAAGGGGAAGACTTTTATCAGATTCTCAAAAGGTTCAACATCCAAAAAAGTTTACCACCCAAGTGGGTTGGGTGTGGGTTTCCCTGAGGTAGGTCAGGGTAGAGGTCACTGGGTGGGCCCTGGCATTCGGCCCCACCCAGCTTTGGGTGGAGGGGACCTCCACACCTTCTGCCCGGGTCGGCGCTCTCAGAGATCCTTAGGACGCGGGTCCCCACTCTCGCTGAAGGTAGCTGACCTTCAGGCGTCTTGCTCCCGGCAGCGTGCAGTCCAGGGTACTGGGCACTGAGTCCTTTAGGCCGCGTTTACCTGTCCACTGCTGTTTGCCTGGGTTGGGGACAGTAGCGGTCGCGGTGGTGTTCAGACCAACCCAGATGAGGACTGGAGCGTACTTTACACTAAATATCCTTGATTTGGAGCGGTTTTACAGTGAAGAGAAGACCTGGGGTGAAGCTCAGTGGGGTCACTGTTGGGAGGCTGGTGTTGATGAGACGAGCAGTGTCCTGATTCACAGGAAGACTGACCCAGAAGCCAGCGGGCAGCTCCAGAAAGTGAGGAGTGGAAACAGAAAGGATGTAGAGGAAAGCAGGATGGATGACAGGGGAAAGGAGGATGGGGAGAATAGGTTTGCTGAAGGTTAAACGTCCCCTAAATGGAACTCTTTATGTGGCCACTGCCAGTGTAGAGAAAAGGAATTCCTGCATTATGTAGACTACTTTTTATACTGACGACTAATTAACATAGTGCCTGGAAATAGGCTCTATTTTCCCTTTTCTGTCTAAAGTGGTTTTTAGCCAAAAACCTGCACTTAAGAAAACATGATTTGGGAAAAACCTCTTTTCATGTAGGACTTCATTTTAAAACCTATTTTTTTACTACACTTGCAGATGATGCTTTTAGTTACATGCTTTCCCCCTGAAAATCAAATACTTTGGAAGTCTGGGATTATACCAAGGACGGAGCTTGCTTGACTGTCACCTGGAAATCATGAACTCGGATCTGTTTCTGGATCTTACACCCGGCAGCGTTGAATCAATCCCGAGTGAATATTTCCAGTTCTCATCAAATACGATGATGTGATAGCGAGAATTATGCAAATTTTAATACTGGACCATCATTTGAAAAGAAAAAGTGTAGTCTTAAGAAAATACAGATTGTTTCAGAAATGGCTTTTCCAGTTTAAAAGTGACCAGATGGTTTCAGTTGCCAAGGCACTGTCTTATATCTTCCAGTGTCAAGTAGACAGAATACACCTCAGTAGTCCATTTAGGGAATTCCACTGCTGATCATTTCTAAAGAAATTGAAGTCCTCTTTTTTTTTTTTTTTCTGACTAGTACAAAGACATGTAAAGTTCTCGGGGTTGGAGTGTTTTAAGTTGTGGGATGCAAAAGAAGGAAAATGGTTGGTGTATTTGACAAGCTGGCTGTTTTTAAGTTAAACTCTACAATCTATCAGAACACGGGGGTGCTGGTCTTTGCACAGTAAACGTGTGACTGTTGTGACTTGCCCTGCCAGTCCATGGGAGGATGGGCAGCCAGGTGTGCACGTGTGGCGATGTCCATCCTGTGGTCTCCCTACTCTGCGTGTCCAGCTACTTTGACGCAGAAATGCATGCCGCATGTTGTCCATCAGACAAGAGTGCTTTTTTAATTTTTTGATCTTCACATTTACCGCTCTCTGTAACATTTGTCTGGGTACTAAGAGTTTTCCTTATAAATGTACATTTGTGCTTTTCTGCATTCTGTGCTGCCCAGGCCACCTTGCGCGCGACCCTCCCCCCGCAAAGCATAGCTGTTGTCCGCTTGGCTGACCTAGTCCCACCCGCCCTGTGTGGGTCCCCCACCACCCCGGCGCTCTCTCTGGATTTGATATTTACCAGAAAAGCGTTTTCTGCAGAACGCATTGAATGTGTTGTGTTTTGTTTTCTCGGAAGGTACAGTGGTCCCACCTGGCATCTCTCAAGAACAATGTTTCCCCTGTCTCGAGATCCCATTCCTTCAGTGACCCTTCTCCTCCCAAATTTGCACACCACCATCTTCGCTCTCAGGACCCCTGCCCACCTTCCCGCAGTGAGGTGCTCAGTCAGAGTTCTGACTCTAAGGCGGAGGTGCCCGACCCAGCCCAGAAGGCTTGGTCTAGATCAGACAGTGACGAGGTGCCTCCAAGGGTAAGGAGCAGAAAGACAGACGTGTGCTGCTTTTTCCTTTTCCTTATTTATGTATTTATTTTTTAATTACTGATTTCAGTGAAGGGTGTGGTGACGTCACCAGAATTAATGGGTGATGAAATGGCAGAACTTCTCGCACTGGGGAGAAAATTCTGTAGTGAGGCCGTCACATTCAGCCCTCAGCCAGTTAGCTCTTCACTCGTGTCTCTAAGTCTGTGCTGAAACATACGATACCAAAATAATTTAATAAGAGTACATCTACAAAGAGTATGCACCTAGAACAGACAGGATCAAAATAGATTTTACCAGCTGTCTTGTCAAGTTTATACAGAAGCTATAAATGACTCTGCACTGCTAAGTAATATCAAAATTTTCAGAAAAGATCTCATAAGGGAAAAAATGAACATAAATGTTTCCCAGAACAGACTTTTTTTTTTTAATTGAGGGATTTTTTTTTTTTTCCTTTCAATTTTAACATTTCTGAAATTTTGGGTTTGGTCGTTAATGTTGAAATTCAACAAAAAGTCACATTTAAATTTTTTTTTCCCTCCACTCGGAACTTGCTTCCTCTGAGTATTTTCTTGCTTCCAACATCCTTTGTTTCTTGCCCATCCATTTGTAAGCCACTGTTTGGTTTCTTTGAGCTTATTTCCCTGATTCTCACGTTATCTCAGCAAAATGCTTTTGTATGTCCCCTGCCACCACGCTTCAGCGCCAACATCATTCACATGTGGCGGAGCATAGGAAGGCGGGCCTGGTGCCCCTGACTACGCTTTCTCTTTCTGCTGTGTCACGGGAAGCAGGGAGCATCAGCGGGCGGGGGTAGGTGTGTGATAGAAAGGTGGCGAACTATGGTGACCTTAGAGGTGGTTGGTAGGGAAGGCTTCGTTCATCTCATGTTTTCAGTAGTTTAATCGCTCTACTTGGTACCCAAAGGTCCCTGTGAGAACAACGTCACGGTCCCCTGTCCTGTCCCGCCGGGATTCCCCACTGCAGGGCAGTGGGCAGCAGAATAACCAAGCTGGTCAGAGAAACTCCACCAGGTAAGTGACAAGCAAGCTTAGGACAGGTCTGCCAGACGGTGTCCTGCAGTCTTTTTTTTTTTTTCTAATTGGAGGAGGATTGTTTTACAATGTTGTGTTGGTTTCTGCCATACAGAAATGTGGATCAGCTTTAAGTATACAGATATCCCCTCGCTCTTGAGCCTTGCATAACGTTTTTTGTGCTCTTAAACATGGAAGTTCTGGGGCAAAGAGGTGATCCTTTTATAAAAAAAATGCCAAAAAATCCATTCACGGGAATAATGTCAAATTGATCCGTAGGGGAAAGAGATGAAATCTGACCATGTATTGTGGCGGTTTTAAGATGAAGAATCCCTGCTTCTGGGAGTTTTAAGTGGGAAGACCCCAGGGAAGAGGGTTTCCAAAGGCACTGTGACCTGAGAGGGTTTGTGATCCAAAGGATGTTGGGGGGTCCTGGGAGTGGCATAGAAGTTACACACAGGCCACGAGAGAAAGACAGTGGTTGACTTTGAGTTGGTGGTAAACTTGTGGATTAACCACAAAATGCTTTCAGGTTCTAGAGCTGTTCTGTAGAGTAGCTGTTAGCCACGTGGGTGTTGGCAGTAGTTTAGTCGCTCAGTCGTGTCCAACTCTTTTCAACTCCATGGCCTGTAGCCCGCCAGGCTCCTCAGTCCATGGGATTTTCCCAGGCAAGAACACTGGAGAGGGTTGCCTTTGCCACATGAGGCTACTTAAATTTGAAGTTTACTAAGATTACATGAAATTAAAACTTGATTTCCTGAGCTGCACTGGTCACATTTGGAGGGCTGCATAACCTCATATAGTTGGTGGCAGCTGTGTTCTCCAGCTCAGCAACTCACAAGAGGTCGTGTGAAGGGTTTGGTACCCTGATCATCACTGAGCCTCCAGACTTGGTGTCATGGGATAACCCGAGGCAGTGGAATGGATGACATGAACCCCAGGAGCTTCATGGAGAAGTTTCTCAGCTGTCAGCGGTCAGGGTGGGCTACAGGGTCCTCCTGTGCCCGAGTCCATGTGTCAGTTCTTAACCTAGAGAACCGGTGCCGTGGTGTGTCCGCGGCAGGGGTGTGCCACAGCCCACGTGCTATCACATCTCCAGCCCAGATCACAGGAAAAGGACCGTCAGTGCTTGACAGCAGCGGGTACTAGAAACAGCATGATTTTGTGGGTGATCACATAGGTGGAATTTTTCATAATAAGAAACTGAGTTTGTAGCTGAGACAAAAATAGTGACACTTCTAGACTGAACAGTAGCATTTCCTCTTCACACCCAAAGAGGATTCGGGGTCCACTCATGGTTGGATGAGCTTTCCTGGTGGCTAAGTGATGAAGAATCAGCCTGCCAATGCAGGAGATAGGGGTTCCATCCCTGGGTCACAAAGATCCCCTGGAGGAGATAATGGCAACCCACTCCAGTATTTTTGCCTGGGAAATCTCATGGGCAGAGGAGCGTGGTAGGCTGCAATCCAGGGGGTCACAAAAAGAGTCAGATGTGAGTTAACAACTGAACAACGGTAGAATGAATGGCTTTCACGTTTTCGGTGTGTTCAGCTGAGGCAAAACCAGTGACTGACACTGCCGTCACTTGTGAATGTCATGCTACGTCCGTCTGTGGGCTGATGTTCTCATTACTGCTGTGATGACACGGTGCTCGCGTTTGTGGTCTGACACTGCGTCTCGGGACAGAGCTTGAGTGGTTCTCTCGTCTTCTTCTCCAACAGTAGCATCGAGCCGAGGCTGCTCTGGGAGAGAGTGGAGAAGCTGGCGCCCAGGCCAGGCAGTGGCAGCTCCTCGGGGTCCAGCAACTCAGGGTCCCAGCCCGGCTCCCACCCGGGGTCTCAGAGTGGCTCCGGGGAGCGCTTCAGAGTGAGATGTAGGCTGCCTTTCCTTTCTTCTCCCTTGCCCGCTCACCACATGGGGTGACCCTGAGCACCGGGGTTTAGGGACATCCCCCCACCCCCGCCCAGCCGCTGAAGATCCTCCTCTATAGTCAGCCCTCCGTCCGCGTGGTTCCTGAGCACCTGTCGTTACGCCCCACGGATCCAGCCATCTGGGGGTCCCGCAGTGCTCAATCACTGACTTGTTGAAAAAACTCCACGCACAAGTGGACCTTCAGAATTCCACCCCGTATTTTTTAAGAGTTGACTGTGTTTTGAAAATCCTTGTCAGTCACGGAAAAGACCTGGAGTTTTTCACAGCTGCATATTACTATACAGTGTTTCAGTGTAGGTTTGCTAGTGACACAAACAGTCATCATAATTTTATCAGTAAAGAGTTAAGTTTTGAGAGTTTATACTTGTTGAACGAACACCTTCTCACTTAATCCTTACAGCAACCCCCAGGAGATGGATATATGTTGTGTCTCCATTGTATACGTTCAAATAACTGTACTTTAGTGAGTTGCCCTGACTCGTCCAAGGTGTTTAGCTAAACGTCCAAACTGAGCTTTGAACCCACTCTTCTCAGCATAAATTCCATCAATGTTGTCATCGATACTGGTTATCCTCACCTACTCTTAATAATAGGTTAGCGGAAATTCCCTCTACTGTATCACTGATGTAATGTAAGAAGTTGTGAACATATATTATTGCAGTGTGACAGTCGAGGGTTCTCAGGAAGGGTCAGAAACCCGGGGTTCAGACCTGTGTGTGGAGGGAGCCCTTGCCGTGAGCATGGCTGACAAGCAGGCAGGACCAACAGGAGGTGATCCTGGTGGGCTGGGCAGCCTCGTGGGCCACACTCGGATGTTCACGTGTCTCTGTCTTTCTCATCTCTGAACCTCACAGCATCATCCAAATCTGAAGGCTCGCCCTCTCAGCGCCTTGAAAATGCAGCAAAAAAGCCTGAAGATAAAAAGGAAGTGTTTAGACCTCTCAAGCCTGCTGTAAGAATCACACAAATCCATTTTACTCATTTCAAGCTTGAGCGAGAGCTTTCTCTTAAAGCCGTGTCGTTGCGAAGCCTGCAGGCCTCCCTGCGGGGCCTTGCAGATTTGAGGGGTTATGAGGAAAGCTGTAAACCTCAGACACACTTGTGCTCTGCGGGCCTCTGCCCGCCCAGTCATTTAAAACGATGCAAAAGAAAAGCCTGTCTCTTTGCTTGGCATCAAGCTTTACATGTTCTTGGTGAGTGGGCATCTAAAACACTGGCTTTAAGAAGAGATGTTTTTCCCTCACCTTCTTCAGCTCCCCCGGGGTTTAAATCCTGCCCTTGGCCCGTGGGGCCGTTCCGGCTCTTTCGTCCTCGACGTGGCAGCTGCCCTGTCTCTGGGCACACTGGGGGTCTGAGCCTTCCGGGGTTTTGTCTTTCGCTTGCACTGATTTCTGTGCCCCTCCCCCTTCTCTCCTCTCTGCTCCCTGCTGTGCATCCCTTCTCCCGACGGCTTCTCTGGCTCAATGGACCTCCGCCGCCGGCTGCAGGGCGAAGTGGTAAGCCCCGTCTAAATAGCTCAGCCTGTGCTCCACCTGCATGCCTCTTCCTTCTTCAGCTTGCTCTTTTCTCAAGCTAAAAAACCCTAACATTCTGCTTCATTCTTAACACCCCAAATTCGCCTTATGTGCTTATTATTTATTATTAAATACAGCTTAAAAAAAAATCACTGTAACAAAAAACTGCAGCTGTACTCAAAGTTGCAAGCAGGAGGCCAGGCCAGTCCTTGCTTGTCTCAGAGGCTCAGGTGCAAAGGAGGGAAGTGGGTTCTTAACTGGAAGAATTTTAAGTGGACAGGTACATATTTCAAGCTTCCATTATGAAGATGCAGAATAGAGATAACAATCAAGCTCGAAAATTGTATTTGGATAATTGATAATTGACTGACTCTAAAAAAATCTTCATATAGAAGAGTAAAGGAAGCTGATGTACTTGTAAGTAACCCCAGGCAGCTTTCCCTCCTGCACGCACGGTCCTGTCGGTGGTGGGGAAGCCTGCCAGCCACACACGCCGGGCACTTTCTCACCTAACACGTCGGGAACTTTGTCCCCGAATGTGGCAAGTGGTTGATAGTCTGTGAAGCCATACGTGAGGCATACACTGTACTCACTTAACCATCTTTCACTTTTCTGCAAGTTGGACATTTTTCAAAATAAAAGTTGGAGTTAAAAAAACCTCCCTAGATAAATAGTTTAAATCACTCCTCTTTAACTAGAATCTCGCTGCTTTTTGGAACATTTCCTTAAAAGAAGACTTTGCCATAGGGCCAAGTATCTTGATAACAACCAAGATCTATCTTGCACACATTTGTTGATTTAGAATTTTCTGTCTAGCAGAGAGGAAGAAGCAATTGGTGTAGTTATGCCAGAATGCAGCATACATTTTTTTTTTTTTGGAATGTTTTATTTTGGTTATATATATATATATATGTAGAATTTGAAACAAAAAAATAGAATTTGATAGTTAGAAAAATATTCTCAGCTCATCATAAACAGATGATTGTTTTTTATGGCCACCAGGTTTAAACTGGGTTCAGCATCTTTGACTTCTAAAAAACTCTCCTGTTTCCTCCAGCTTTTTGACTTTTCTTGGTCCTTCCTATCAAAAGCGTTAAGAGCTCCACTTCACGGTACCAGTGGACTCGGCTGGGCGGATGGTTGGGGCGAGGCGCTGGTCGCTGCCGGGCCTCTCCCACCTCCCTGACACTCTCTCTGCCCTGCGCAGGACCTGACGGCGCTGGCCAAAGAGCTCCGGGCCGTGGAGGACGTGCGGCCGCCGCACAAGGTGACGGACTACTCCTCCTCCAGCGAGGAGTCGGGGACGACGGACGAGGAGGACGACGACGTGGAGCAGGAAGGGGCCGAGGAGCCCACGTCTGGCCCGGAGGACACCAGAGCCGCGTCAGTCCCGCTGAGCGTTAGGGAGGATGAGCGTCCCCGCGGGCTTCCCCGGTGGCTCAGTGGCAAACGGCCCGCCTGCCAGTGCAGGAGATGCGGCTTCGATCCCTGGGTCGGAAAGATCCCCGGAGAAGGAAATGGCAACCCCCTCCAGTGTTCTTGCCTGGAGGATCCCATGGACAGAGGGGCCTGGCGGGCTGCAGTCTGTGGGGTTGCAGAGAGTCAGACCTCGGAGCGTGCACTCACGAGTGTGCCGCGCTGGGCCTTCTTTCCAGCTGGGACACGGTTTATAAACCTGTCCTCTGGTCCTGTGAAATGGAACGTTTCGCTGGTGGCCTGAGCCTGTCCGCCCCTTCTTTGGGCTGGTGCGTGTGCGTGTCAGGGCCTCTCTCCAGGACTCCTTGTCTCTCTCTCTTTAGTTTGAGCCTGTGACACATGGGAAATTTCAGCTCATTTTCCTTGGGGAAACTTTATACTTGTAGCCTTAGGTCCCTGAGAAGGTGAAAGACGTAAACAGTATATCTTCGGCTTGTGGGTCACGGCCCTTCACACCTGGATTGTGTCTCAACAGATCATCTCTGAACTTGAGCAACGGTGAAACGGAGTCTGTGAAAACCATGGTTGTCCATGACGATGTGGAGAGTGAACCAGCCCTGACCCCGTCCAAAGAGGGCACGCTGATCGTCCGCCAGGTACCCGTGCTCCGCGCGGTTAGAGGCCGCGCTGCTCCTGTGGTCATTAACCCACGTGCTCATCCACTCACTCATGCTGTTTCTCCATTGTCATCTGTTCTCACGCTCACCAGGCCCGGAGGGCAGCGGGGCCGGGCCATGGGAGGCAGGCGTGTGCCGCGCGCCCCTGGGGCAGCCGGCAGCGTCCCCCCCCCCGTCCTGCCCTCCTTGCATGTTGTGTGGTAGCCCCCCTCTCAGCCCCACGCGAGCCCCGCAGCCTGTGTCTGAAGCAGGGCAGCCGGGAGGTGTGCATGGAGCTCTCGGCTCCAAGAGGCCGTGGGGCTGAGGCGGGAGCGGCCGAGGCAGGCAGGAGCTGCCCGGGAGCCAAGAGGCTCCTGGAGCCAAAGGGGTTAGGGGGGCGGTCTCTGCTCTGTGCTCGGGTGTTAGTCTCCCCCTTCATGGAATATTTAACCTGTGCCCCCCCAAGATGTATGTGCTCCTTTTGGGCTGCCAAGCTTTATAACCGCCTGTTCATTTCGTAGCTTAGAGGGAAGGAAAGTGATGCTTTTCTCGTTTCAGCAGAGCAGGGCCCCTGTCTAGAACTGCAGGCTCTCCCTGAGTGTGTTTCATGCTCTGGCACTACATTTGGATGGAAGGCGGGAAGTGGCCCAGGAAAGATGAGGGTTCAGAGAAGTGACAGTGTGCTTTCTAGGGCTTTAGAGAGATTTAAAAAGAGAGGAGACAAAGCCAGTAGTTTTGGTGATAGCAGCTCCCGTGGCAGATAAATCAGCGTGACTTGGGTCCTGCCGTGGCTTCCGCTGGCTCGGCCGAGGCACCTGGCGAGGAGGGGTGAGCAGACCCAGCTGATGCCCTCCAGTCTTGCCTGGATGACTCGGCAGAGCTTGCGGAGCCACCCAGCACCGCAGCAGGCAGGGTCAGTAGGGTCTTCGGCAATGTCAGCGGTGCTGAGCGAGACCAGTGTGCCTTTTTCTCTGCAGAGTGCAGTTGACCAAAAGCGCGCCAGCCATCATGAGAGCAATGGCTTTGCGGGTCGCATTCACCTCTTGCCAGATCTCTTACAGCAAAGCCATTCCTCCTCCACTTCCTCCACCTCCTCTTCCCCATCCTCCAGCCAGCCGACACCCACCATGTCCCCACAGACACCCCAGGACAAGCTCACTACTAATGAGGTATGTCTCACACCACAGCTGGCTGCTCTCCCAGGGTTAGACCAGCACCGCTTAGGAGCTAGTTTGCAGAGACCTTCCCACGCCCTGCCCTCACCTGCCCTCCCCACCCACCTTCTTCTGTCACCTCCCCTTCTCTCCCACCCCCCCACCCCCAGTAACATGTTTCAGGTCTGTATACAGACCCCTTAACCCTAGAGCGATTGCCCTCCAGACTTGCCAGTTCACTGTTTACTTTTCCCTAGATAAGTAGTTGCATGGCTTTTCTGATTCAGTTCATTTTTCAAAAAAAAGTCTAAATAAAACGATTGTTGTGTTTTCAGATCCTTTATGTATTTGGCATGAAATTCTGGTAGTCTTTTGCGGAATCTGCCCTTTTCATTCTTTTTATCCAGTAAATAAAACACAGAAACACTTGGTTGAGCAGATTTGGCCTTATCAGGACAAACGTGTAGCTTTGTACAGGAAATTCCCTCAAAAAGGGCTGGATTTTTTTTTTCTTTGGAGAGGAATTATTAGTTGGTTACTCTTATTTATTTTTGCCAAGCTTGTTGAAAGGATTTCTCTCCTTGAAATTTATAATCACTCATAGTTTAAGAAGCCAGATACTTTTGGGGGGATACCTAGAAACTTAAGATGTTAAACAAGAAGGGCAGAGAACTGAGCGTGCTTTTAATTTCATCTTTTTGAATGGGAAATCCTGTGTGCTTGTTGGAAGGCATGGCTGTGGTGTCAGTCTGGGTGCTGGTTGGGTGATTCTCTCTCTTGGGGAGACAGTCATGGCCCCAAGTGCAGTGACAGTTCACCATGGGCCCCCATCCTTAGTCACACAACTGACCGTCTTCATGGGAGGTTTGGCTTAAATGCCTTTGTTGAATATCGCAGTAGCATGTGGCTTCAGCCGATCTTGTCAGTGTAAGCATTGAGCTGTCGGCCTGCCCACCTGCTCCTATTTTCGTTCTCTTATTAGAATAATCCTCCCCTTTGAGGAGCCAGGGGAAATCAGTGGCTTCTAAGGCAGGCTCAGCATCAGACTGATTGCCACTGGGTGGATGGGCCCCAGCTGTAGACCCGGGGGTGGGGGGAAGTGCTCGGGGCAAAGCCTGCCAGGAGACAGATGTGCCAGGTGGGAAGCAGGGAGCTGAGGAGGGGCCTGAGGGGGTTGGCTGCAAGACTTGTCATTTCAGCTGCCCAGGGGAGTGAAACGGTTACAGGACAAAAGCAGTGGTCAGACATGTGTTTCCCTCCACTTATATATCCCACCTACAGTTACATTCCTTCTTATGTTTAAACTTGGCTCCATTTTGCTCTAATGTACAGTATGTACAATAACCCTTAACTCACTAAACTGGCAAGTTTATATTTCTGTTTGTTTTTAATTGTCATTACATTTCCACTTAACAATTTGTTTCACTTTCTTTGTGTTTTTCTTTTTTTTTTTTTGTCTTAAGCTACATTATTAACCAAAACACTCCTATTCCTAAAAGAGCAAAAGAATATGCCTTTGCACCTTTCACTAATGAGCCCCGCTATTTGATACGGAGTTGATGATACACCTAAAACGATGGTGGCCGAAGCTTCTGTAGTTTCTGGCAAGAGGCTCACTTTAAAATAAGCGATATAAGACTTAAGATTTGCCGGTATTCCAACATACATTCATTGGACTTTTGGGGGGTAGGAGAACAAACTCAAAAACTGATGAATTGAGATCAAGACATTTCAAACTTCCTTTAGGAGTTTTCATTATGATTGTTTATTAAAAACCCGAGGAGCTCGTGAAGTATAGATGTTGCTGGTAGCTTGCACGTTCTGTCTTACCAGAACAATGTCTCTGGAAAGAGAGGTTGCCTTGTTTGGCTCCTGGTTAAATAGCCTGTATTGGGGGTTGCGGGGTTCACACACAGAGGTGTCTGCAGAGTGTTTGGCGGGGGAAGAAGCAGGGGGATCAGTCTTCTGTATTGGGAAGCAGAGCAGTGCAGCAGTGGGTTGAAATATTTTGTGTTTGTTCTTTTACTGTCATTGTATTAATACGACTGAAATTTACATTGCAGACTCAGTCCGCTAGTAACACACTCCAGAAACACAAATCCTCCTCCTCCTTTACACCTTTTATAGACCCCAGATTACTACAGATTTCTCCATCTAGCGGGACAACAGTGACTTCTGTGGGTAAGTAACACAGCGGCAAGCACGCAGCCACCGGCAGGGTACTTCTCACTCTGTTTGGTGTGGTGGGCATGTGTAGTGGTGGTCGGCAGGCTCAGACCTCAGACCAGATGCACACCCCACTGGCACTGTCTTTTGCAATGAGCGTCATAGTCAATCTCCATTTTTCACGTCCATTTCTTACGAGTTTCTCTTCCTCGGCAAAGAGTGGGTCGTCACATGAACCTTTCCTGGATGCATAGTGGGGAAGGGAACAGGACCAGCCCTCACGGAGACAGAACTAATTACAGTGTCATATGTTTCAGTGGGGTTTTCCTGTGATGGAATGAGACCCGAGGCCATGAGGCAAGACCCTACGCGGAAGGGCTCAGTGGTCAATGTCAATCCCACCAACACTCGGCCCCAGAGCGACACTCCAGAGATTCGCAAATACAAGAAGAGGTTTAACTCCGAGATCCTGTGTGCTGCCTTGTGGGGTAGGTGTCTGGGCCACTCCAGCCCTTCTGTTCTTATTATCAAGGGTGGACCAGTCATTGGGAGAAGTACAGCTTTGGGATGTCTGGGGGGCTTGGGGAGCATTGTTCGTGGGTGAGGTGGAAGACTCTTGACATCCCTTGCGCACACTGTCCCATGGAATCCTGCACGCACACAGACCTGCCCTTGTTTCAGCCATCATGTACTGGACAGAGTGACTCATCCCCATCACTTCGTATAAAAAAGAAGGAAAAAGATGAGAAAGGCATTTGATTTGGCCCATATTTATAGGGAGAATGAAGAAATTTGTCAAATTGCTTTTCTTTAAATGTTTCAGTTTAACAGTCTTTACTGACTCTTTGTGACTTAAGGCGACATCTAAGTGAAGTTTTGGGGGGGTTTGCTTTGTTTTTGTTGTTGTTTTTGATATGGACCTTTCTTTAAAATTTACTCTTTAATTGGAGGAAAATTGCTTTATAATGTTGTGTTGCTTTCTGCCACACAGCAGCATGAATCAGTCATAATTATACACATGTCCCCTCTCTCTGAGCCTCCCTCCCCTCCCCGCCCAATACCCCAGCACTCCCACGCAATCCCGCCTCTCTCGGTCGTCACAGAGCACCAGGTTGAGCTCCCTGTGCTACCCAGCTTCTCACCAGCCATCTCTTTTACACACACCTGGTGGAAGTGCTAGTCGCTCAGTCATGTCCCGCTGTTTCTGACCCCGTGGACTGTAGCCCCCCAGACCCCTTTGTTCACGGGATTTCCCAGGCAAGAACACTGGAGTGGGTTGCCATTTCCTTCTCTAGGGGATCTTCCAAACCCATGTCTCCTGCGGCTCCTGCGTTGTAGACAGAGTCTTCACCCCTGAGCCACCAGGGGAAGCCAGACCAGGTGTGGGGAAACGAGGCGGGAGACGAGACACGGCTGGAGAGAAGGAGCTGGGGTGTGCCTGATACGTACTGCTCCTAAGAAAAGAGGAACCGAGGACCAAATGCAGCTGTTTGTTTCTTAAAGATGATGGAGGGTGGTCTTTAAGAAACCTGAAGCTGAGTGATAGATGCCGGTTGATCACAAACTGTTAGGGACTTAGGGGGCTGTGTATGGCTCATTCTAGAAGATCTCCCATGCAAAGACAGATGTTGAAGGAAGCAGGCAGGGATCATGACATTGGACAAAGGTTTGTCTGTCTGGTTATCTGATAGGATAGATAAGATGGAGAGTCTGTGGTACCCAGGAGATGGTGGGCTTGGATGTCCTGGGCCTACTGAGGAAAACCCAGAAGCTGGAGGATCTGGAATGAGGCAAGCTCATTGCCCCCTTAGATCCTTTTTATATTAATGTGTAAATGAATATTCCATCCTCTCCCCTCCATGGTGATTTGTTGCAATTTGGGTACTTTAAGCTCTGACCATCCTTAGCTTTGGAGAAAAAAATGGCAACCCACTCCAGTATTATTGCCTGGAGAATTTCATGGACAGAGGAGCCTGGCGGACTATTAGTCCATGGGGTCCCAAAGAGTCAGACATGAATGAGTGACTGAGTGCGCACATCCTAAGCATCTCTGTTTGGGGGTGACTTGAGGAAACCACTCTTATCCTGAGAGGTGGCGCTATTTGCTCCATACAAGGCCATCTGCCACGCACAGTGTAAAATTGTGGTCTTTCTGTGTCCTTGACATAGGAGTGAACTTGTTGGTGGGTACCGAGAGTGGCCTGATGCTGCTGGACAGAAGTGGCCAAGGGAAGGTGTATCCTCTGATCAACAGAAGGCGATTTCAGCAGATGGACGTCCTGGAAGGCTTGAACGTCTTAGTGACGATATCTGGTAAGTGTGGGTTTGGGAGAGCAGGCCACCAGGACTGTTCAAAAGTGCGGTGCTTCCCCAGATGGAACTTGAGTGAGCTCGTTTTCTGAAGTGATAGCTCAGAGATAGAACCATAGCGTGATTTTACAATAATGTGATAGGAAAGCATATTCAGACGGAACCCACTTGTGTGAATTTGCGACGGGGTGGGGCTCCTCTGAGCTGTCCTGGAGCAGAGCACCTGCACTTCCTACTCCCCCACCCCCTGCAGCCTGTCCTGTTCAGGGTGTGGGTTTGTGTCCACTTCTTCCTACAGGACTCTGATGCAAAAAGAACTATTCTTTGCCATTGCTGGTAAAAGCATGGTTTTTTTTTTTTTTTCCATGTCTGTCAGCACTTGTCAGTTTCTTTTTAGGAGGAGCATTTTTCTTGGTATAAGTTATACATGTTGATTGTAGAAAGTAAAAAGCACTGCAGAAGAGCAAATAGGAGGAATAAATTGTAAAATCAGTTCATCCAAAGAAACTGTTAACTTCACTTTTTAACTTACAGTCTTGTAAGCATATACACACTCAGGTGAGAGAAGGTCTCTATAAAAGTAGTTATGCAACATATTGAGGGAATAATCTGATGCCTGTATACTGACAAGTTGGTTTTACCAGATGTCAGAATACACTGCTGTCCATACAGTCGGTGTCCACTCACCGCTGGTGACCACTGTCCTGAAATTAAGGTGTGTCCCTCCCATTCTTGTTCGTCCGAACCTGTAGGTTGTTTTCCCGGATTCCTTCAGGATGGCCATTCTGTACTGCTACAGAGTGTTTCTCTGCGTAGATGCACTAAAGTTTATTTACCTCTGTTGTAACTTTTCCATTTATTCCTTTTTTCCCCTCTCCTGTAAACATTTCCTAAGTATCTTTGTGACTCACTTAACCATTCAGCATGTGAATCCTTGTTGCCTGGATCATAACTTCCTAATTTGCATTTTTGCTGGGGTTAAAGAGTATGCAGAAGTGTGAGACCTGTCTCCTCATTACACACAGTGATTTTGATTTAATTATCAGCTAACTCAAACTTGCTGTATTTATTTATACATAACAGATTTCTTGCAATAGTTTTTAGTTTTCAAATAGGTTTTTGGTTTTAAGTAAGATGTCTGTTGAAATGCAAAAATTTCACCATCCATCTCCTACTTAAATGAGGAAACAACTATTTAAGACTTCAGTGCTGATGGGAAATAGGTTTTCGAATTGGAGGAAAAATAAATCTGCAGCTGAAAATGGTTGAAACTTCATCTTGTGATCCAGTGAGCAAGATGATTTGTGTGGATCAGTAATCAACTGATAACTGTTTTTTGGGTCCACTTTTTTTGTATTCTTTTTATAGCTTTCATTGGTTTTCAAAATCATAAAAGCAATAGCACGTCAATTGTGGGAAACTTCAAAAACAGGAAAAAAAAGCTTAGGAAAAAGAAAATAAAATGTAACCCTATCTGAGAGAGAGAGCTCTTATTAACTTTTTAATATATTCCCTCCTCATTTCTATAAATGTATCTCACCGTGTGGGAATAAAACACTGTACATAAAACAGTGTTGTCTTCGTTTCACTTAATGTATTGAGTATCTTCCCACATTCAGAAATTCTTCAAAACTTAAGATTGTGTTGAAGTATAAGACATAATACAGAAAGTGCACAGATTATAAATAATTAGAGGTCCACGAAGAGTCACAGTTAGCCATCATGTGGCCCCCGGCGTGGTGACCTCCTCCACCCGCCCACGGCTCTCCTGCATTGCCTCCATCACTGCCCACCCCCACCACACACACACACCCACCCCCTGAGGAAGCTCTGTCCTGACTTTGAACACCTTAGAATATACTAGATATGGTTTGATGTCTGGTTTTTTGCCTTCATTGAACTGAACTCAATTAAATGGCAAAAATACTTCTTTTGTGTCTCACAGTTTTTCTAGAGCAGTTTTATGTTTACAGAGAAAGTAGACAGTCTTATATTGGCCCCCTGTTCTCTGACATTTGTCACAGTGGATGGACCAGTATTAATGCGTTATTTTTAGCTGAAATCCACAGTTTAGGGTTTTCTCTGTGTCCTCTCGGTTGAACACATGCATAATTTTATCTACCTTTACAGTGTCATACAGACGAGTTGCATCACCCTAAAAATCCTCTGTGCTCCATCCCTTCCTCAAAGCCCATGGCAACACCTGACCTTTTTCTGCTCTCTATTGCCTTTTCCAGAATGTCCTAAGTAGGCCCATGCAGTGTGTAGCCTTTTCAGACAGTTGAGGGCAAGTACCTTTTTATCAGTCAATGTGATGCTTCTTTTGTCTGTTCTGGGTGCTTGCTCAATATTTCTGCTAGGTTTGTTGTTGTTCAGTCACTAAGTCATGTCCGACTCTCTGCAACCCCATGGACTGCAGCACACCAGGCTTTCCTGTCCTTCACTCTCTCCCGGAGTTTGCTCAAAATGAAATTACTTAGCACGCATGTACACATGTCCATTGAGTCGGTGATGCTATCTAACCATCTCATCCTCTGCTGCCCCCTTCTTTTGCTTTCAATCTTTCCCAGCATCAGGGTCTTTTCTAGTAAGTGAACTCTTTGCATCAGGTGGCCAAAGTATTGGAGGTTCAGCATCAGTCCTTCCAGTGAATATTCAGGGTTCATTTTCTTTAGGATTGACTTGCTTGATTGTCTTGCTTGCTAGGTTATCTCTCATCTAATTGATATATAGGAGTTCTCCACACGTTCTGGGTAGGAGTCTTCTCTTAGCTCTGTGTGTTGTGTCCATTAGTTTATGGCTTGCCATTTGCTGGACTGAAGTCGCCAAGTTGGGTGATCTGTGAAACCCTTTTGTGCTCTTAAATGGGAAACAGTGGTTACTCCAGAAGGTTTTAAGAATCAAATGACCTCATAGCTTGAGTTTAGTTTCTAGTGAAACTGATACAAAACAATTCCCTTGCGGTGGGGGGAGGGGATGGTATTTATTGTTTACTGCAGTTTATTTTGATTACTGTTGTTAACAAAGATACCTAATTTGGAATATGCATGTAAAGTACTTATTATTTGTTTTGCTAGGCAAAAAGGATAAGTTACGTGTCTACTATTTGTCCTGGTTAAGAAATAAAATACTTCACAATGACCCAGAGGTTGAGAAGAAGCAGGGTTGGACAACAGTCGGGGACCTGGAAGGCTGTGTGCATTATAAAGTTGGTAAGTTCCTCCATGGTTGCAAGGGTTCTGCTTTTCAGAGGTTCAATTTATCTTTTGTTTAAAATTTATGTGTTTTTGAAGCTTTTAGTGAGAAACGTGTCTCTGATACTCCTAGCTCATTTGAAGCACCTTCTAATCCTGAGGGCTGCATGGCTCCGTTTGAATCATCATGGGTTTCCCTTCAGCCGTCCCCGACTTCCATCCCCCTGACCTTGGACAGTCCACATTCTTCTCTGTAAGATGGGGTTCAGAGGAACCTCGTTAAGGAAGCATAGCCTGAAGAACGCCAGGCCCCTTGGATTCTTCCTTGGCCCTGCAAGCTGATTCTCACTCAAAGCACTGTGGGTCCTTGGCAGTCACTGATGGAATGTTTGAGAGTTTGCCTAAAGAGCTTTGGCCTGTCGATTTGAATAAAATGCGCTGTGCACAGCTACTGTGCTCATCACTGAGGAAGGAATCATGCTGGCCGGGCAGCATTTTGTGGCAACCTTTTTGTTCTTTTTCTCTGCAACATTCATGCCCTGCTTCTCATAAGATTTCACAAGAACAAAACCAAAATACATTTTTTGTGTGTGTTGGGGGGAAAAAAAATCAAAATACTGGCTCTAACATCGGAAATTAAGGAGAAATGATGGTGTTTAGCCCAATTACAGTTTTATGGGTGAGATGATGTGTTCTAATTGCATTGAAGTGGGAAGCTGAGAAGATGAGCAACTGGTTTCTCTATATAGACTGAGAATGTGAGGGGTCTATTGGATGCTGACTTCTGCTTGTGTATTTCCTGTTCTTCTGTGTTTATGAAACTATATGCTGTGGTCAGTGCTTCTGCTCACAGGGATATTCCAGTCCTTGGTGTTGTCATCTTGATGTAATCTGTTTGCAGCCCTCAGCTCACTGGTTGCTAATGAGTGTGGATGCCACCCCGATACTAGAGTGATTCTGAGTGATCCTGCAGGGCTCTGTCCTCTTGGTGTAGGTTTGGGGCTTAGGATTTTCTGTGCTGTGGTCTTCTGTAACCTTTTTCCTCGTTGAAGATGGTAGCTGAATGTAATAAACTGGCTCATAACAGCTGAAATGTCCCTGAAGAGATGACCCCATGGGGGAGCGGGGGCAGATGGGTTAGACTGAGCTGGACCTTCCCCAGGACAGAGTGCCCGGCTCATTCAGGCCTGCTGTTCACACAGGGTGAATCACGCACATTCATTTGTCATGTTTAACCTTCTCTTGTTGTTCAGTCGCTCAGTCGTGTCCAGGTACTTGCGACCCCATGGACTGCAGCCTGCCAGGCTTCCCTGTCCTTCACCATCTCCCGGAATTTGCTCAGACTCATGTCCATTGTGTTGGTGATGCCATCCAACCTCTGCTGCCCCCTTCTCCTGCCCTCCGTCTTTCACAGCATCAGGGTCTTTTCCAGTGAGTCGGCTTTTCACATCTGGTGGTCAAAGTATTACTCAGTTGACCTAGACCTGTGCTGTGTAGTATGGCTGCCATCAAGAACAGGGAGGGTGGGAATGGGTATTTAAATTTATTTGTAAATTAATTAACATTCAATTAAAGGTTCAATCCTCAGTGACACGAGTACATTCCAGGTCTCCAGTGGCCCCATGGCACATAAAACCTTTCCACCGTCACAGAAAACTATCCCATCAGCACTGGATAGCCTCTTAGAATTGTTTGTATTGTCATAGTCCTGTGATTCATTTGGATAGTGACAACACGTGGAATTTAGCAAGGAGAGTTATCAAGTCAACAAGCCGAGTCTCATGGTCAAAGTCAGGATGAAGGACTGCTGTGGTTTACAGAGGCTGTGCAGACACTGGGGTCTACACCAGCCAGTGAGTATCGTGTGGCAGGGCCAGGGCCGTCTGGGTATCCTCTTAGCAGACATGACAGCTGTCAGAGACCGAGACAGCTGTGTGAAGAAGGCCTTCCCGTATATGCATAAAGTTACAGAGGGATTTTTCTTTACTTTTGGTACCGGATGTAGAATCCCATATAGGATCCTACCAATTACTACTGTCTCTATAGCTGGACATGCTGTAAAGTGATACTTGGTCTTACACACAGAAACAGATAGAATTCAAATTCAGTTGGGTATTCTGTCATAGTTCTTCCATCTGTAAGCTCCACGTGGGACTCGGGAAAGCCCACGTGGAAGATTTGACCCCTCGCTGGTATTCAGGAGCCTCTTGGCTGATAAATCACACCATTATCCTTTGGAACTAATGCCGAGTCCTCCAGACAACAGGGTGGAAAGGCCGACACTGCCCTTGATTATTAAATACTAAGAACGGTAGGAGCAGCATTGGAACTGCTCACTGGTAGTAACCAGGGTATGGAGCGGAGTCCAGCGCAGCACTGAGGAGGATGTGGACAGCCTGCACGTGTTTTCAGGAGTCTGGAAAGTGAACCAGTGCCTGACCTCTCAGCATTGATCTCTGATTGGTTCGGATGGACCGACAGAGACGGGCATGTTTGCAGAGTTTGCAGAAGACTGCTGAAGGAGCTGAGAGTTCCACCACGATACTGACCTGTGCTCTTCTTACTGTTTCAGTAAAGTACGAAAGGATCAAATTTCTGGTCATTGCTTTGAAGAGCTCTGTGGAAGTCTACGCGTGGGCACCCAAGCCATATCACAAATTCATGGCCTTTAAGGTAATAACGTCAAGTGCGCTTGGAAATAGTATCAGCCATCCACACCGTGACCAAGAGCCAGGGAATAAGTTGGCTGATCATTCATTTAAAACTGTGCTGTTAGAAGGGGGGGCAACAAGTATGGAATCAAAATTAAAATATATGTGTATGTCTATGATACCATGGGCTTCCCTGGTAGCTCAGCTGGTAAAGAATCCTCCTACAGTGCAGGAGACCCCGGTTCAATTCCTGGGTTGGGAAGATCCCCTGGAGAAGGGATAGGCTACCCACTTCAGTATTCATGGGCTTCCCTGATGACTCAGATGGTATAAAGAATCCACCTGCAAGGCAGGAGCCCTGGGTTCGATCCCTGGGTTGGGAAGATCCCCTGGAGAAGGGAATGGCTACCCACTCCAGTATTCTGGCCTGAAGAATACTGGACTATATAGTCCATGGGGTCACAAAGAGTTGGACATGACTGAGTGACTTTCACTTTCAATTTTTTATCAGCAGTAGGCAACTTCCAGGTATATCTGTTCAACGGGACTAATAGTGAAGTTACAGAAATTCTTAATGACATAGTAATGTATATTATACATTAAATAGAATAAGTATTTAAAAACATGTATAGTATACTATTTTTTGTTTCAAGAAAAATACAGTTATTTTGTGGGTGTTTTTTAATACTTTTTTGTAAGTCTAGGCTGCACTAGATACAATTTTTAGTTAAAAATGATATTACTATGGCACTAGATATTATAAATCACTTAATAAACATCACTTCTGATGTTTATTAGACACAAAACTTTAAGCATCACCCTGGGCCTATTTTAGTGCAGGGTGAGATATTAAGAATTTTTTTTTAAATAAAAAATGATTGTTTACTTATTTTTTAAAATAGTTTTGATATGTTAAGGGTAGGCCTCCATTATCTGGAAAATTGACATATTTAGATGGCTTATTATTTGATTCTCCAGTAAAGGAAGATAAATGGGGTTATCATATTTGCTTTAAAATAAAGCCACATATTATTGACTAAAAGCAATTGGTTGTAAAGTTACAATTATCTTTTGAGATCTGATCTTAATCACCTTCATGGACCAAGTACTGTCCTCATTGTTTTATAAATAAATAGCTTATTCGGATCTGTCTCATGAGCCGTAGGTGTTGACGTTACAGGCCACCCAGGCTGTTACAGTACGCGGTAGCCTCTCATTACCACTATTAAACAAGTTGGAAAGTTGAAGTGGAAGTTTGAGCAGCTCTGTAGAGACTGTGATGACCACACTGATAAATTCTCCTTATGTGTCTCTTGCAGCACTCCTCTCTTTCTCCATCATCTGCATTAGAGTAGTTGATGCTAGCAGATAAAAGCAAAATAAAGACTCACCTTGTGGAGTATTTTTGCTTTTGGTTTTTGCCAGGGTGCTTCAGTCATTGAGTAACTGAGCGCCTGGGTCTGGCTTCTCCAGGTCGAACCGTCAGACATAAGTTCTGCTCATCTCACTGCTGCTTCTTGCCTGCTTCTTTGCAGTCGTTTGGCGAGCTGGTGCACAAGCCATTGCTGGTGGATCTCACTGTTGAGGAAGGCCAGAGGCTGAAAGTGATCTATGGATCCTGTGCTGGATTCCATGCCGTTGATGTGGACTCAGGATCGGTCTATGACATTTACCTACCAACACACGTAAGAAAGAACCCACACTCTATGGTTGGTTGACTGGCTTCACTGTGTTTTGACTTTTCTCTCTGCTCTGCTCAGGGCACTAACACGGGCAGGGGCCCCTCGCTCCCCTTTGCAGTGGGGGTGAGTATTTCAGTGACCTGAAATACTTCAGGTCACTTCAGCAGCTCTCTGCTCCTGTCTCTGAAGCCCTCCCGAGACGCTCCTAGCTCTGCTTTCACTAACACGGGATGGGAGGGGGCGGCTGCTGGCAGGTCAGGACAGCCATGGGGCGGGACTGTTAGAGGAATGTAATGTATTACATGGAGCCCATGGTCCAAGCATATTCTGGGGGCCTCAGGAGATGTGAATGAGCAGCATGTAGGGCGTATCAGAGGTAGACTTGCAGATACATATGACATCACGTGGGTTGTCCACTCTGTCGTCCAGTTGCTGTGTTTATCACCAGGAACTGAGCCAGTGCCTCTACACAAGACACTCTTACTAAGCCGTGTGCAGGGGTAGAGGTGGCCACCGACATGCTTCCCTGTGCTCTGTCCCCTGCTCCAGATCCAGTGTAGCATCAAACCCCACGCGATCATCATCCTCCCCAACACGGATGGCATGGAGCTCCTGGTGTGCTATGAAGATGAAGGGGTTTATGTGAACACCTACGGGAGGATCACCAAGGATGTGGTTCTGCAGTGGGGCGAGATGCCAACGTCTGTAGGTACGTGTCCCTGAGCGGAAGAGGTTGTGTTTGTTAAAGTAGAGCCTTTCCTGAAAATGTGTGTGCTTCAGATATTGGTGTTACGTGGTGTTCAGACCGTTCGGCCATTTTAACAGAGCGGTTGGCAGTAGGTGGTGGGAAAGGTAGATTGTAGACTGTGATGCGTCATAGTCTTATGTTAGGACAAAATCTTAAGCAGTGTTTTTTTTTTTTAAATCAATTTATTTATTTTGTTATTCAGTCACTAAGTTGTGTCCAGCTCTTGGCGGCCACATGGACTGTAGCACGCCAGGCTTCCCTGTCCTTTATGGTCTCCTGGGGTTTGCTCAACTCACGTCCATTGAGTCGATGATGCCATCAAATCATCTCATCCTCTGTTGCCCCCCTTCTCTGGCCCTCAATCTTTCCCCGCATCAGGGTCTTTTCTAAAGAGTTGGCTCTTCCCATCCTTTTTTTTTTTTTTTAATAAATTCATTTATTATCTCTCTGGTTGTGCTGGGTCTCTGTTGCTGCACGGGTTTTTCTCTAGTTGTGGCAGTAGGAGCTGCTCTCTCCTCATGGTGTGCAGGCTTCTCCTTGTGGTGGCTTCTGATGTGGAGCACAGCCTCTAGGGTGTGTGGGCTCAATAGTTGTGGCTCACAGGCTTAGCTGCTCCACGGCATGTGGGATCTTCCCAGATCAGGGATCAAACCCATGTCTCCTGCATTGGCAGGCAGATTCTTTACCACTGAGACACCAGAGAAGCCCCAAGTAATTATTTCTTAAAGCTCTGCCTTCACAGTCCTTCATTTAATCTAAAGCAGCCAGGGACAGTAAGACAGATGTAGTTGTGACTAATGGGTGGAAGGTGAGGGGAACAGGAAGGTAAGTGATGCTGTGGCGATCTCATGGCCCAGCCGCAGTCCACACATAGCCTCTGACCTTCTCTGTCCTAAAGACTGACGTCTGGAACCCTGTTGGCTCCAAGTTTATTTCCCCAAACTACTTTGGTTTTATAGCAGCCAAGTCGCTGGCTCTGTCCACTTGCCTTCTCTTTTCCCTGGTAATTGGCATGAGGAAAATATAAGCTAAACTGTGGACAGGGACTGGGGGTGCTGCTCCAGCATGTCCTCCCCAGAGGCATCGGCAGACTCAACTGATAATTCAGAACATCACCTTCCAGGATGAACCACAAGGTTGCACGTGTAGAGTTGCTTACATCAGTGGGCCCCATCCTTCTTGGCACCAGGGACCAGTTTCGTGGAAGATGTGGGAGAGGAGGGATGGTTTGGGGATGAGTCAAGCACATTATATTTATTGTGTACTTTATTTCTGTTATTATATCAGCTCCACCTCAGATCATCAGGCATTAGATTCTGGAGGTTGGGGACCCCTGTCTTACAAAAACCTCCAAATGCCAGCTGTTTAGAGGGGTGGTGTGTGTGTGTGTGTGAAACCTGAGCAGCTTCTTTCCATGGCTGTTTGCTCATCTTTAACAATATGTGTTTTCCTCTCTCAAAAAGCATATATTCGATCCAATCAGACGATGGGCTGGGGAGAAAAGGCCATAGAGATCCGATCTGTGGAAACTGGTCACTTGGATGGCGTGTTTATGCACAAAAGGGCTCAAAGGCTGAAATTCCTGTGTGAACGCAATGACAAGGTAACACTCTCCTTAGGGATTCGTTTTAGATGTTATCTTTCAGCAGTGGTCTATTTTCCATGGAGCTCAGTGAAGCCTTTCCTTGGGATTTTGATAAATTCTGAAATAACTTTATCAAGAACTTTTCAGTAGTGACTTTTTAGAGCCGTTAATGGAGGTCAGGATATATTTTATTTTGTTTTTGTTGAGGGGGTGGACATGTTTTATCTCTGCAGAAATCATTCTGTGTTGGGTTTTTGTTGTCTTTTGAGTTTTGTTTTTTTTTCCCCCATTAGGTGGCCTGCCTGGGCTATGTTTAGTTTAGGGATAGAAAAGGTTAAAGCTCCCAGTTTAGATGGATGGAACTCTTTTGTGATTAGAAAGAACCCTCATGCACATTTAAATAATAGGGGATATTTTCCTTCCCCTGATAATATGCTTGAAATACACCACTTGTTAGTCCTTCTTTCGAGTATTGACATAACTGCATTGTCTTCCTGGCATAAGTGCCTAAAAGGAGAAATTATTTTATGCAAAAGCAGGAGTGCTGCCTACAGATGAGACCTGTGAGACCCCAGAGCATCAAAGCCCAAGTTAAAACCTTTGCTTTTCCAAACTGGCCACATCGTTTTCTTATCCAGGAATCCCTTCCTCCCCAAACCAGCCTTGGAGTGGAGCAGACAGCTGGCCAAGGGTACTGACCCCTCTGGCCTTTTCTAAGCTTAGATTTCTCTCTCATCTGTCACTTGGATGAAAATATGTCTGACTACCTGAGGCAGCCCACGACAGCCTTAGAACATTTCCACCTCTTGCTTCACATTAAAATATATTAGGCCTCCAGTCACCAGACCTCAGGCTGACTTCTCAAATGAAGAGGAGCTGTCATTTCTACTTGGCAGGTGGGCCTCCTGCCCAGCTTGGTGCTCTACTCAGGTCCACATCCCCCCAGCCCACTTCCTGCTGCAGTCCAGTCCCCTGGCTCATTTGCCGGTGCACTTGACCTACATAATGTCTCCCAAATCTTTTACCTTGGAAACCCATGCAACCGCAGAGCTAACCCAGGATTTTACCAGCTTTGGGGCTTACATTTTCCTAAGTATGTTCAGTGGAGCTATAACCACGGTATTCTTTGAACTTCAGGCATTTAAATTTTTTTTTAATCATTCATGATGTCATACCCATCAGGGTTTATTAATAAAAGGCACAAAACTAAATTATATATATTTTTGACAGTAGAGTCCTGTGAAATAACCAAGACATTTCAGTTTCATTTTTTAAAAGAGAAAAACAAGGCGGCTGAGTCGCCTCCCCACTGATCACTGAGTTTGCCCAACACGTTGATCTTTCGGAAGGTGTTAATGGTGGAGGTGAGCACAGCTGATCCAGTTTGGGGAACATCTTGTTTTCTCTGTGTTCTCACAATAGGGCATGGGGTGCGCAGAGTCATCCCTTGGCTAAGGAGTCTTCCTAGGTTAAGGAAATGTTAGTCGCTCAGCCTCCTCTGGCCCTTTTGTGACCCCCTGGGCTGTAGGCCCACCGGGCTCCTTTGTCCATGGAATTCTACAGGCAAGAATAGTGGAGTGGGTTGCCATTCCTTCTCCAGGGGAGCTTCCTGACCCAGGCCTCCCCTGGCAGGTTCTTTACCTCTGAGCCCCCAGAGAAGCCCTGCTAGTGGAGATGCAAAGTGGCTCCTTACTGGTGAATGGACGCCACCCAGACCTCCTTTGGGAGGGGGCCTCCGGGCTCCCGCTCACCCCTCCCCTCTCCCCTGCAGGTGTTCTTCGCCTCGGTCCGGTCCGGGGGCAGCAGCCAGGTTTACTTCATGACGCTCGGCAGGACCTCTCTTCTGAGCTGGTAGGAGTGGCGGGCTAGGCTGCCGGCCCCGAGGTGTCGACCATGAGAACCCGGAGATCCTGGCAACTGGAGCGCGGAGCTGCCCGGGCCGCGTGGGCGGGGGTCTTCTCCCCGCCCGCACCCGCTCTTACCAGTTCATCCCCATTCTCTTCTTGTCCTGTTCGAAATAAATCGAGGCTGCATCGCAGCTGGTGCTGTCGAGACTGCCATCAGGTGCTATCCGTGCTGGGATGGAGCGGCGGGCAGAACGCATGCGCATTCCCTCCAGCTCCAGTGTTCCGTGTCTGCGGCTCCATCCTGGGGCGTCTGCGGGTGGAGACCGGACGCCGGCGGGGGGGTTGGCAGGTGTAAACGTGCGCTCGAGGAGCAGGTCGCTGAAGCCAAGAGCAGATTTAATATAGTAACATTAACAACGTATTTAATTGACATTTCTTTTTTTTTTTTTTTGGTAATGTGACCATATGTGGACAAAGAAGAAGGTGCAGGTTTAAGAAGTTAATATTTATAAAATGTGAAAGACACAGTTACTAGGATAACTTTTTTGTGGGTGGGGCTTGGGAGGCGGGCGGGTGGGTTTAGGGACCCATTTGGTTTCTTGGGTTTTTTTTTTTGGCCAAGAACTCAGTCGTTTTTCTGTGTACCAAGTTTTGCCTAAAATCACGTGCAGATGATTCTTTTAAAAAAAAGGAAAAAGAAAGGGTGTGCATTTGTATCCTGCCCAGAACCTTGTTGTGTGACAGTATTAGCGCTGCCTCGGTCAAAGGTTTAATTTTTGTTTAAACCTGGAAGTGCAACAGCAGTTTCACCACGATCGGCACTTGCAGAGGGAAAAAAAAAATCCTTTTCAACCACGTGTTTATTTTTTCGCCTACCTCATTGTTTTTAATGCATTAAGAGGTGGTTTAGTTTCTATGTCTTTGGAGGAAAACATTAATGTTTAACCTTAATACCAAAACGATCCGATTGAAGTTTGACTGTTATTTTGTCATGTCTCAGTAGGCACAAGAGAAATTGTCCCCGAAGGTGGGAAACAGCCATGAGGCTTGTCCGCTGATGGGCACGTCTGCTTTCTGAGCTGAGAAAGCAGATCACACCATTTTCCATCAGATTCATCAGCGGTGGTGGTATATGGACAGGTGGCCATTGCCCACAGCACATGGGGCCTCGCTGTTCTCAGCTCGGAGTTTGCAGACAGGTGGTCATATGGGGGACAACCCCACAAACTGTCGACAGTGTTGCCGGAACCTTTCCTTGGGGCCGGGGGTGTTTCCCTTTTTCTAAAAATGCAATGCACTAAAACTATTTTAAGAATGTAGTTAATACTGCTCATTCATAAGATAGCATCTTCCTGCGTTTCGGGTGTGATATCAGAGCCCTGGCTTCTCGAGTGCTCTCCCTTGCTCTCTCTCTCTGCGCGCTCTCTCTGTTTTTTAAACCAGTTTTACTTTTGAATATGTTCATGACATTTGTAATAAATGTCTTGGGTAATAATTGGTTTCATGGCTTCTGGTCACTGGCTTCCTCTGAGGATGTTGGTTATATTGATTACTTGTTAAAGGGTGGCTCAGCCGTCTGCCTGTCCTCTGGCAGAGTTCTGATGGGAATCTCACTCACCAAACAAAAGCTCCGCGTGGCCTAGGCTTATTCCTCCTCCGTGGTGAATTTGCTTTTATGACATCAAAGCAGAGGTTTTCCGCCCCAAGAAATTAACAATCACTTGCACCTGTGTGCTGAGTCTGCCCCCCACCCCCACCCCCAAAGCCGCATCCCGTTTGGCATCCACTTTGACACATTGTTCTCTTCCTTCTGGGTCAGCATTTTTGCCAGAGGCTCCCGCTTTGAATTTCAGAAATGTACTGAAGAGTACACACACTCACAAATGCAGAAACAGCAGCTGATGACATACACCCACCACAGAAGCACCCGCTGAGAAAAACTGCCTCTGTGTTGGAAGGATTCAGTCTGGGGAAACAGGCTTTCCATGCGTGTTGACTTCAGCGTAGTGCTGGCGTCTAAGGCAGAAAGAACCAGTTCTGTTCTGGTCATTTGTGCTTAAAGGAGAGAAGATCCAGGCGCTAATCCTGCCCTTGGCAGGAGTTCTGAGACTGGCCAGACTAGTCACTGCGGGGCTGCAGTCCTTGCCACATCACTGCTGGTGATTCTCTTCTCGGGTTGGCTTTTGACCGGAGGCGAAATGTGCCCTGGCAAACACGTGCGTCAGGGTGAGAACGGACTGCGTAGTGGGGTCAGCTATAGCCCCTCCCATGACTTCAGCGAAAGGTCAGGTTGACTTCTGATACCAATGTGAAAGATATAAACAGGTTGAGGATGATGGGCTCCGAGCTCAGGTCAGCGTGGGCCTGTCCTACCTGGGCAGCAGCTGGTGGTGGTGGAGTTGAACGTGATTGAATCGTCAGCTGGGCTTGGCTGACCGAGGTCAACCAGCCACTGGTCCCCTGGTTGGGTGCCTCGGGTCGCCTTCCTTGTCTGGAGTGTCCCTCCCTCCTTGGCCTTCCCGCCATGCAGACCAACTTAGGTTGCTACGGCTTCAAGCAGGCGCTGGGTTAGCTTTCTTCATGGGAAATGGCAGGCTCTCTCCATTTCATTCCTAACAGGGTAGTGACTTCACTCAAGTGCCAAGATGGCAAAATTAGCAGGAGAATTTAGTATTGTGCTGATACCACTAAATATGGAACCTAGAAAACCATGACAACTCTTCCAAACAAAATACCAGTATGGCTCTAGGTTTAGTTGAAGCTTTAATAAGTGATACTTTTCTGTATTTAAAACGGAGTCTCTATATCGAGTGCAGTTTTTTGGGTTTTTTTTTTTACTTTTTCTCATGCACATGTGTTGAAGAAAATGTTTACAAAAAATAGTTTTGTTACACTAATGGGCATCACATATTTATGGTCTATTTTTAAGTGATTTTTTATGGGTTATTTAGGCTTTCGTTTTAGTTGTAGTCCACTTAAATGATGGTTCATAATCCCTAATTTTGCCAATTATAAATTTGCTAAACGGTAATGCAAATGACAAGCTGCATTAAGTTTACTAATCAGAACTGCGAAGCAGACTGGTGGCAAGTACACACACAGCCTTCTTTTTTCAGTGCTAACTTGTCTTCTGTGTATTATGAAAATGACTGTTGTCCCTCTTCTTCCCCTTTTTTTGTCCTTAAATAAAGTAAAAGTGACACCTGTTTCATGTGGCATGAGTTTCAAATATATTCTGTCCCTGCAGAATGTTCACTTTCTGTAAGGATCCTCCTTCCCTGGTGCTACCCCAAGGCCCGAGTGAGCAGCTCCCAGATTTTGCCATCTCCCTGAAAGGGGTGGGCCAGGGGATTCCCAGGCACAAGTTACAAAAGCGGCAAACATTTGTTCGGAGATCTTAGAATGAGGGCCTTCTCTAGTGGTCCAGTAGTTAAAAATCCACCTCCCTTGAAGAGGACATGGGTTTGATTCCTGCTCCAGGAAGATTCCACTTGCCCTGGAGCAACTAAGCCCGTGTGCCTCAACTCCTGAGCTGGAGCAACCCACTCAAAGGAAGCGCTGTGCCACATGGGCAACCAAGAACCGACACAGCCAAGTAACTAAATATTTTATTTAAAATCTTAAAATGAAATTGATAGTGAGCTCGTGATGGCCATGTTCCTGAAGCCAAAAGCAAAAGTAAAGCTTCTTAGGAAGAAACCGGGTTTTGTTTTTCCAAGCCTGAATTGGATCAAGAAGTAAAATGCATGCTGTCTGTTCTGTAGCTAATTGGACATTGGGAGGAACCCTTTCTCAAATTGGTGCATAAACAAGACCTGAAGCCTGATCATTAGAGCTCCTCCAGTGCAAAGTCATCATGGCCCTGCCATGGATGTGCTCCGTCAACACCCGTACACCCCCGCCCCCTAGCTTGGCAGGAACATTCCTCACTGGGTACAGTCCAGGTCAGCCGTGGGTGTCAGCACTTTGCCGGAGCCCCCAAGTTGGGGAGGACTAGCCATGCAATTTCATCATCAATTGCACATGTTGGTCAACTAGCTCCTCTCTGCTTTATGCTAGAAACACGTTCCTGCTTTAAGGTGAAAATAAACTTGGAAATACCTAGGCCACCTGCTCTAAGGTGAAAATAAAATACCTAGGCCACCAAATGAGTGAGTTCCCTTCCACCTCGTCTGTTGTAGCTGGTATGGGTGATAAGGAATAAACCTCGGGTGGTCTGTCATTCTGGACCCTTGTTCCAGCTTCCCTCCATTGGTGGGGGTTTCACAGGAGGTCAGGAGGGTCAAGTCACCCCCTCTAAGGATGACTTGGTGACACTGCTGCCCTCTTTGCCATCTAGGACTTAAACAGTGCCCATGCAGAAGTAGGTGCTGCATTTTGCAAAGTAAAATGGCTAAGGAATTAAGCCATTTTCTCAGGAGAGCAGTAACAGGTGTTCAGGTAGGAGATGCTCATATCGTGTCGTCTGTGTATTTCACAATCTGCCTGGCACCCTTCCACTTCTGCCTCTGTCTGACCTAACTTCCTTGTGCTTGAAGTTCACCTCATTTCTCCTCCCTGATTCCCTGATGATGGCCAAGTGTTACCTTGTTCGTTCTGTTTGTATCTGTTTGACCCAGCATATGACAGTATTCTGGCAAATCCCACAGACAGAGGGGCTGAGGATGGGGCCGCAGAGAGTCGACATGACCGAATCACTGAGCATGCTTTTGAGCTGCGATTGGTTCTCACTGGCTTGCTACTCTAATTTCCTTGTCGTTTGCTTTAGTAGCTTGAAATAAACCCCTGATGTTCATCTGAAGAGGAAGCCAGGCCCTTGTGCAGCATGGGGCTTGTGAGGAAGTGCCCTGGGGCAGCTAGGCCCCAAGAGGGCTGTGAGCCCCGCCTACTCCAGGCAGGGACCACCCAGTCCTGGAGCAGACAGCCAGCCCCATTGGCTGCAACTTGGCTTCTTGTGAAGACAGTGTGGGACCTCGATGCCTAAGTCTTACCTCCTAGTTTCCTTGGT